AATTGAATTGCCAAAAGAAGGCCATAGGAAAGGGCAAGATACAGTGGATTTTTAGAAGTGGTTAAAAGGGCAGATTAGATGGTCGGGTCTCTTGGTATTTAATATAACCATTCCCTGTGATCAAGGAGAAAAATTAATATTGAAAACTTTGGGACTTTGCTAGCAGAACTGACATAGTGGTTGATCACGGAGAACAAGAGTCCTCTGGTATTGTCTAAATGACTCAGTCTTACTATGAGAACTTTAAGTATTCAAAGTTCAGGAAAGAAAGTAATACCTGACTCAACTATGGAGTGGGCTTAAAAATAAAAATTTAGGGGCCAGAAACCAACGACACCAAGATTCAGAATTTAAATATTAAAACATCCTAGTTTTCCACAAATCCTTTCAATCTGCTACAGAAATGGGGAATTTAAAGGATTTCCTCTATGGCTTCCCAGAGTGGATCATCAGTTATTCTTTATTTAATTATTAAGGTTTTAAATAAAATTCATAGGACACTCAGAAATAAAAGTGTCTTATTAGACACATTTGCCAAAGCAGGCAGGAATAAAGGTTTAGACAAGATTGTATTTTATATTATTAAGAGTTGAATGACTTTTTCCCCAAATCTCATACATTACATTCCACACTTATTTCTTGCTCAATCGCACATTCTTTAGAGACTTGGTCTTTTATTCTCCAATAAAGCAAAGGAAATTATTTTTTCATTATTGTAATTCAATTGTTCATAAGAAGTCTTCTATTGAATTTAGATTGTAGAAGCTGTAATGAACTGATGAAATTTTCAATACATATTTAAACTACTTCTGTCTACCATCACTGTTGACATCCATGAGTCAGCATTAGCATTTTATGACAAAAACTGCTAAATGTCATCAATTCATTTTTTCAGGTCAATAACTGAAAACGATTCTAATTATTGCAATCAATAGCTGAGATTAAGTTATATTTCAATAAGCAGAAAAATTCAAATAGATGCAGAATAAGACAGTATTAAGCATTCACGAACCTCCCTTCTACATTTAGAACTGAAGTCAACAATTTAGTCCCTATAGTTAAGATTAATTCATGGTTGTACAAATGAAAGCTAGAGTCTCTGGCCTAACACCCTACTTTTAGATTCTGTTCCTTTTCACTGAAAGAACAACTTAAAATACTAGGGTCATAAAGGGTAAATAAGCAAATATAAATTTCACCAGAAACCTGAGTTTAGAATTATGACTTCAAAGCACCAATCACTTCAATCAAATGCTTAGGCACGTACTTAACGTTTTTTAAAGAGAGTATGTATGTTTCATCAAATTCTAGATAAAAAGCACCATATAAGAAAATGGTACTTTGAAAAACTAACTCAACATACTATGTATGTGTGTGTGTATGTATGTAAGTGTCGCTTTCAAAAATTGCCCAGAAAAAAGAACAGCATCTCCCACTTCTATTTATTCTTAGGTGATTGTTTAATAGCAAAGTTAGTTTACATTTGAAGACATTTTGAATAATCGTATTAAAAACCAATTCAAACAATGTGGCTCATGTTTAACTCTTCAGTTATTTATCCATTAATCTCTTTAAGTACCTCCTTCCCTAGCACAGCTGTAGTTCAAGGGGTAGCCAGCAGTTGGCCTCCGTTTCAGTGGATTTTCATGAAAGCCCAGATTTCTTTCTGCAAACTTTTTAAAAGTTGTATGAAAAATAACTTTTTCATAACTTAAGGGCTTATAAAAAACTTTCAAAAGGATCCAAAAGAAACACATTTTCTTTTAAAAATAAAAACCAAACAAAAGGAAGCCACACACATTGTAAAGATGTTCTCTCCAAAACATTCTGTTCAGCAGATCTGAAATGTCTCCAAAGGGATAAGAACCGCTTGGTTTGGAAGCAACAGTTGAGAACTCATAACAGGTTGGTTAAAAGCCAACAGTGACAACCGTGAGATTTTTAAAGCAGATTAGGAGTGGCTGAGATACCAGGCATGGGCCTTACCTAGTCTCCCTGCTCCATGTACTTGGAATTCCTTCAACTGTAGCATTCAACCACCTAGTATAGCTGTTCAAAAGCCTCTGTCCTTGGTCCTCTCTTCTTTTCTCCTTTTACGTTGTCCCCTGAAGACTGCAATCCTACTAACTACAGTGGTTATGATGACAACTCCTAAACCTACGTCCCTGTTTCTGTTATATCTCCCAAACTTAATTCCCCTATCTCCAAGTTCTGATGTACGTATTTCCACCAGGATATGCCATCATCATCTCACACATAACACATACAAAACAAATGTATTCATCTTTATCAAACTAATTCCCTCTTTCAGTTTCCCTGCCTGGTAACATTAATCCCGTTGTTCTGGTCACCAAGAATTAAACCACAGAACAATCCATCCCACATGTATTTCTACAGGATGATCTTGCCACTTCACCAACAAACACATAATGGAGTCTAATTCCTCTCTCGAATTTGGACTAGCCTTAAGACTCACTTATAACTGGAAGAATATGACTGAAGCAATACTATGAGACTTCAGGGACTAGGTCAGAAAAGACCATAAGGAAGGAAGGAAGGGAGGGAGAGAGGAAGGGAGGGAGGGAGGGAAGGAAAAAAGACCATGAAGCTCCTGCCTGATTCTCTCAGAACTCTTTCTGGCGAAAGCCAGCTGCCATACATGAATGTCAACTACCTTAAGACTCCTATGCTAAGAGACAACAAGTAGTCCCAACCTGGCCCAATCTTCCAGCTATTCTACCAAGTTGCCATAATATGAATATGAATATAAGCTGTCCTGGATCCTCTTGACCAATTCATCTGCCAGCTCAATGCCACCAACTGTACTTAGTAAATACACTGAGAAGAATCACCCAGCTGAGCCTTGCCCTAATTCTCAACACATAAAATCACGAAATATATAAGTAGAATAAAATCCACAGCTTCCTTCTAAGTATTTAATATGTTGTAAGTGGAGTTGTTACTATGTGGGGCTGAATGTTAACTGACATGCCACTTCTTTCCCTCCTCCATTCCCAGGGCCATCAACAGAGGAAGAAGCTCTCATCACCTTAGATCTAGTTCATTATAACTGGTTCCAGAGCTTCCTCACTATAATCTGCCATTACAATCTATCTAACCTAATAGTTTCAACCTGAAAACTACTTTTGCAGACCAACACTACAATCAACACCAGTCTCATTGATGGTTTCCATTTGTAGAAAGTTTTATAATGCAAACTTGATTATACAACAACCGCCAGAGATCTGTCAATATGGCAAATATTCTTTTCCTTACTTTAGGGATGAAGAGATCAGAGCCAAGGAGATCAATGTTTGTACAATAAAATCATCACCACCACCATCATCGATATCACCACCAACATCACCACCACCATCACCACCATCACCACCATCACCACCAACATCACCACCATCACCACCACCATTACCACCATCACCACCAATATCACCACTATCACCATCACCACCACCACTACTACAGTAAGGATGACTTATTTACTCACCTAACAATATGCCATTCTGATTCTAGCCTCTGAACATCTGCTCACAAAATTTCCTCCTTTCTCCTGCTATCTACTTAAACCTTGCTTATGCATTAGCGTAAATGCTACCTCCTCTCCATCAAGTCCTACCAGCCTATCTCTGTTGCTTTCTCTCCATTATTCCTACAGAATTAATAAATTTTATCCAAAATTTAACACTGGATTGTTTATCTTGCTCAAGTATGTTGGTCTCACTTTCCAGGCTGGCATTCAGCTAACACACATCCATACGTATAGCAATGTTGAGTGCTCACAGCCAGTGTCTGTTCTGACCAGTCAGTACTCATGACATACCATCTGTTAAATATTTTGAATTTCATCTCTGCTTATTTCCTACACTAAACAATAAGCTCTTTAAGAACAGGACCCTTGTCTTATAAAGAAGTACTATATCCTCCAAACCAAACACAGTACTAAGCACACAACTAGTATTCAATATATATTTGATAACTGATTTGAAGGTAGTAAAGTGTGTTGTGTTACGAAAAAAAAAATATCCCTAAGTCATGTCTACACAGGAAAGAGAGTTGAAAAGATAATAAAATATTTTCAAGATCAGCATTTTAATGTCAGGGACATTTTATAATTTATCATTTACAGATATTCTGTGCAGCCCATAACTGCAAAATGTGCTATAAATGTTTTTACCAGGAGTGTGAAAAAAATGTTTCAAAAATATTCAAGGAGTCAATGTCTTACCAGCCCAAAATAAAATGTTTGCTGAGGCTACAAGACTGGCAGAACTCTGCTTCATTTCAAAAAGTTTCCAGGCAATGGAAATGTTTTCCTGGAAAATACTACCTTTTATTTAGAGAACACTTGCCATGAACACTTAGTCATTAAGTAATTTAAGGTTTCCTTACAAGCTCTTTGGAGGAAATCTATTATATGAATGAATGAAATTATCACCACCTATAATGTCAAAAAAACACATTTGGCTAAATATATGAAATCTACCTAAGTATTTTTCCAGGTAAGGGGGGAAAAATCTTTGATACTTTTTGGTCTATTTACTGTTCTTTTAAAATTTTCTATAAGATAAAATTATGAAGAAAAACACAAAATCCTTAAGTGTTTCTCTGTCTGTAACATACACAAATCCAGAAAACTGGAAGGCTTATTTTATCCCAAATGCCGAGTAATTTTCAAACAGACAAAACAGTCATTTCATTCAATGAAAAGAAATGGTAACTCCAAAGCTATTTTTAGCAAAATCTTTTGAGTTTGCTGCAAATCACCTTTCAATGGGAGAACAACTTGGTATGGACATTTCACTCAATCATCGGCAGTAAATCATACAATGAAACCTAAGAAAACAATTTCTTCCAAGAGTTTGAAGCCAACAAAGTCTTATTCTTTTAAACATCAAAAGATACAAGTAAATTTCACTTCGAGCACATGGTTTGTACACTTAGTCTTTGAAAAATGTACACAAAAGGATATTTGTTTTGTTTACCTGTTTAGTATTTCAGTAAGTTTCACAAAGCCAGTGTAAGCAAGTTCAAATGCTCCTCTGTGCCTGGACTGTAAGAGATGATGTTTAAAGTAATCTCCTACTTCTTTTACCTTTAAAACAAAATAAAAAAATAAATGTGTGATTTATGCTTACTTATATTTACAGATACATTTATGTCAGTAACACCATTAAGAGCTCAGAACTAGATCTTTATCCATTTAGCACTGACTTTGTGACAGGTAGTATTTTAAGTGTTTTTATAATATCATATTTAATCCTCAAAGCAATTCCATGAAATAAGTACTATTTTCATCTCTACTTTCCAATAGGGACGAGGCCCAGAAAGGCCAAGTAACTTATTCAAGGTAACACAGCAAGTAAGTAGTAGAGCCAGTACATAAACGCAGTCTGGCCCCAGTGGGTGTCTTTAACTGTTAAACTAGAACTGCCTCCCTATGCCAGTTCATATCACTCAACACCAACAGCAAATTGCACAAGGTGACAAGCCTCACACACCTAGGCCTGGGTGAAATAATTACCTTTTTCTATTATTTAAAAAAAAAAACAAAAAACTTTTTCTACTGTGGTTAAAATATATATAATACAAACTTTACCATTTTTTAAGGTTTTTTTTTTTTAAAGGGCAAATCATTCATTTATTGTTTAAAGATCTCAAGACAACATCTGGATTTCTGTAGCACAATTTAAATGTTTTATTTTTCTGATAAAGCAGAGTATAATAGAAAAAACAATTAGTTTCCAGTGATATATCTATTTTTTAAAGGTTTTATTTATTCATTTGAGAGAGAAAGAGCACAAGCCAGGGACAGAGGCAGAGGGAGAAGCAGCAGACGCCCCACTGAGCAGGGAGCCTGATCCTAGGCTCCATCTCAGAATGCTGGGATCATTATGGGAGTTGAGGGCAGACATTTAACCAACTAGCCGCCCAGGAGCCCTGAAAATTTACCATTTTTTAATGTGTACAGTTCCATGGCACTCAGTCTATTCATACTGCTGTGTGACCATCAGCACCACCCATCTACAGAAATTCCCAAACTGAAACTCCAGTCCATTAAACAGTAAAACTCCCAATAATTACCATTTAGAGATAAACAATTGTTAGTGGCAATGCAAGACTTGTGCAAAGGGAGTCCTGAAAATTGAAAACTGACAGGCTTCACTCAGAGGTAGAGCCATGGCATTTTCCAGAATGCTGCCAAATCACTTTCCTACATGTTGCCTTTCTGCATGCAAGTTTGGACAAATAGCAAATATCACTATTTTAAAGAAGGCAAGACTAACAATTAGTTGTTGATGAGGTTTTGTGCAGAATTAACCGGTAAATTGGGCTAGTTTTATACTGGGAACATTTGGTGGCTATCAACTTTAGAAAATTCAAATTTTGTATAAGGCTCAGGACAAAAGCTATAATTGGCTCTCTTGATCCAAGTCTCCCCAGTAGATCACAGTATGGTGGAAAGGCAAGCTGTCCCAAGATAGCTCGGATATGCTCACCTAAAACACCTTCTACCTCAGCACAGTGACTAGATTAGTGCTCTGCACACATGTGAGATAACAGTACAAGGTGTAATTAAACATTTGACCATGGGCAAGTTTCCTCATCTATAAACTGGGGATAACAATAACACTTGCCTCAAAGGTTGTATGTTAACATAAGTTAATAAACCTAAAGTTCAGAACAGGCCCATAACCTATAATCCAGTTCAGTTCTGGGTTTCCAAATAGAGGAAAAGTAAAGATGTACTCCATACTTAAAATATATCTGATCATAGAGAGATAACAGCAATATATTTAGAGAAATAAGAAGCAGATATATAATAAAGAACCAGAAAAACTGTATATAATAGGACTTTTTCAATTTTAACACTTTAATAACCCAAGAGTGACAGGTCATGTTCTTCAGCTAAAGTTTTCAGGTATAGATCTGATGATACGCTTAATTTTTAATACTTTTAAAGAGCACATACTACTGCCTGTCAAAAACAGGGTAAGCTTTATCATTTTCTCTTCAATACAGTAATTTCAGAGTATATTTTGACCAGAATTCTCAAGCCTTTAACCTGAACTTAACCCCCAAGATAGATCTAAAGCTCAGTAATCCTACAAAATGAGGGCAAGTGGAAACTCCATTTAGCTAACTTGTTATGACTATCATTTCTATTATTAGAGAAATAAAAGATTTCTAAGAATAGGTATTTTAAGCCACAGAAAATAAAAACAGCAAGTCATAAAGATGGGATCTAACTTCCTTTTCTTTTTTTTTTTTCTAAAATGTTACAGATAGTAAAACATACTTCAGGAAAATAAAAATGTTAACTGTTCAAGTGCTTCTCTGTGAACTTAGAATAGTTCACCATCTAGATCTTAGGCAAAGATTTGATTTTCAGCTTCCTTTACCCTGTTTAAAGGAACCTAACCAACAAGCATAGAACAAAATAAAAAATCTCAGAAGTGTGACAAATAGATGGTCTTCTCAAGGGCTGACCTCAATTTTAGGTAATCCTGGCCTCAGGAAACAGAATGAGGTGCTAAGGACACAAGTGAGAAGTAGAGTTTTCCCTCATTTCATTTTGAACATAATCTCCCAACAAACTCACCTAGGTAATACTATGAATTTTTGCCTTTGAAGAGAGTATACAACGTCTGCTAATCAGTAAATATTTCTTTAGCACCCAGTCAAATGCTTAGCAGCTTAGTGCTAGGGTAGACAGGGAGGGGCAAAACAAGACATCTGTCCTCAAGAGGCTTTCAGTTCAGACAAAACCAATTTGCTGAATGGTACACATCATCAGACACCTAAGAGCTCCAAGAAATGAAAGATCCTTCTGCTCTGCAATAAATTATTACAAGAAGCTTCATGTTTAGACTTTGAACTAGATATAATTGGGGATACCAAAATGGAAGAGGGTAACGAACATGGGAAGAGGCTGGGGGACTAGAAGGTATGATAAACATTTATTAAGTCCCTGCTACTGTCCAGACAATTTACTGGATCTTTCTATATGAATGAACACAGAATATATAAGTGAACATCAGCAGACCTGGCTGCATGACCTTAAGGTTTCATACTAGAAAAACAGTGGAAGATAGGGCTGCAAGTTGGACATGGATTCCACTACCAAGGGTAGGAGAAGTCAAGGCAGTGTGGTCTACGAGCAAATGGACAGGGGAAAAGGACATGCTGACACCCCCCCATTGGATAATCAAACACAAACAACAGATTTGACCCAAACAACTTAGAATGTTAATAACAACAGCCGGAATCAGAAATAGAATTTTTAAATTTATTTTAAAAATGCAGAAGTCCTCTGAAAGCTCTGATCCAATTGTCCTTTTATTAGATACTACTAAGGTCCTATCTAAAGTTCACAAAAACACTGATGATGTCTTCATGTATTATTTTCTTAATGAATAACATACATCTCAAGATTTTTTTTTAAAGGGAATTAAGGTAAAAGAGGAAAAAAAGGGGGGGCACACTGATTTCTAGTCTTAAAATAAAATTCTGGTCACTACCTTTTTAAATTGAGCAGATCCTGGTTCTAAATTTTCATAAAACCCATTTCTACAGGCCAATTAACATGCTTTCTGGATTTATAGGATATAAATTTCCACAGGGGAAAACAGCTACATGCCATGTCTTAAGGCATCTACAATTCATGAGTGGATAAATTAGGGGTGCTAAATGCTCATCTAGAGCCTAAAACCCACAAAGGGCAAATCTAAATACATTTTTAAAAAATTTGCCCTCTATTTATAGAGAAAGACAGCTGAAAAATCGAGGCTAATTCCACTCATTATAAAGCAGATAAGCCAAAGAGAATTTAAGTACTGGAGGAACATTTCTACAAAAACTGTAAGTGGTGGTTCAGCTGTGATACCCTGGAGCCAGGAGGGCTGAGTTCAGGAACCCTATCCAGCCTCCTTGCCAGTAGAAGCTAATGAAGCCGTTCATTCATTCACCTGTGAAGTGGGGCTACAACTAGAATCTACTTCACAGGGTTATTCTGAGAAATAAGTCAGATTACACATATAAGCATTTAGCAGAGCACCTGGTAGACTAGCAAACAGTAAATGTCTGTTTTGTTTTTATTTTGTATCATCAAGTAGTGAGACTTAAGCCCTTAATTTTAACTTTGACTTTAGGACACAGCTACTTCTTATAACCTTAGGAATGTCATTAATTCCACTTAGGTTAAATAGAACAGTTTATGAAAATCTAGAAGACAGTTAAGATAATTAATGTTTTAAACTGCACATTCACTACTATAGGGATTTCTTACTAACGGTGGGAAATCTTCAAAGCCCAAATATTGCTCCCCTACATAATAACAACAAAGATAATAGTTTTCTGGTATTTAGGGGCACCTGGGTGGCTCAGTCTGTTAAGCTTCTGCTTTTGGCTCAGGTCATGATCTTGAGGTCCTGGGATCAAGCTCCCCATCAGGCTACCTGCTCAGTGGGGAGTCTGTTTCTTCCTCTCCCTCTCCCAGGCCCCTCCCGCTCACACATGGGCACATGCGCACATACTCTTTCAAGTAAATAAAATCTTTATAAAAAAAATAGTTTTGGGACGCCGGGTGGCTCAGTTGGTTGGACGACTGCCTTCGGCTCAGGTCATGATCCCGGAATCCTGGGATCGAGTCCCGCATCCGGCTCCCAGCTCCATGGGGAGTCTGCTTCTCCTTCTGACCTTCTCCTTGCTCATGCTCTCTCTCACTGTCTCTCTCTCAAATAAATAAAATCTTAAAAAAAAAAAAAATAGTTTTCTGGCATTTAGACATCTTCTTACCAGTTTACTCTTTGCTTTCTAGCAAATTCTTAACCATGTGCCATTTTAACTGGTGTCCTTCAGTCTAACTTTTTAAAATGAATTTGTCTTATATCCCTATTACATTTCTAAGCCCTTCAGTCAGAGAACCACATATTACATTTATTTATGTTCCCACAACACTCTTGTGTTGACTGACTATGGCAATCAATAAACAGGTGACTAAAAGACATGTCTAACTCCATTTCACAGCTTAAAAATTGTAACCTGCATCCAGTACAACTCAATGAATACTTATTCATAATTTCTAAAAAAATAAACTTTGGCAAAATACAAAAGGCAATTTCTTTAAGACTTACAGGTGCTAATAAAAATATATCCCCTGTTGTAGTCCAGAATGGACAATCCAACACAGTAACAAAAGACACTGAGAAAAATGTGTAAACCCATTTAACCATCCTAAAAATCACAACAGACTCTACCTTAGGAAGTTTTTAAAAAGTAGCTAATTTCTAATTGTCGGTAATTATTTTTATTCAGGTGATTTCTGTGGCAATAATTACTAGGAAGGCGAAAGCAGGTATGACAAATCTTCCCCAAAGCTTCTTTTCAGGAATACTAAGGAAATATATAAATATATAGATAGAAATATATTATATATATATATATAAAATATATAATATAATTGAAATATAAAAATATATGATTTGAAATATATTATATAATATATAATTGAAATATATAAATATATGAATTTATATATAGGAAATATATGAATATATGAATTGATACTCCAGAAAGAGGAAGTTATTTAAAAAAAAAAATCAGCAGGCACTGGGTATCCAACATCCCTTGGAAAGAGGACCAACAAAATGCATCAAGCATAAGCTCTACATCAGCAAAACACCCAGCTTGAAACCTAGACACACACCAGCCAGGAAGCTGTGAGATAAGGTTGTGTGTAAAGCCCACTCTTTAAGGGTCTCGACTTACATCCCTCCAAGTTGGTTTTATCTCTGCCTCTTGTACAGGGACATTATGAAAGAACCTTTCATTAGGTGATTACCTTGCAGGAGGAAAGTCAGACATGCCTCTGAATGAACACATTTTCCTCTTGCTGAAGCCGTGGAGGACACACGGCTTCACAAGAAGTGATTTAGGGAAATGAATCATTTGCTAAAAAGCTCAGTAGCAAGTTGCCTTACCGTCCTCTTGCTTGTAAAAGTCTGGTTGGGTAGGGGAAATAGGGAAAATCAAATTTAAAGAAAAAATCAAATGAGCAGATCAGAACAAAGGCAGCACTGTGCCGTGTCCGAACGCAGGCTGGAAAGGACAGCTGGGTTCCTGTCCCGCAACTGCCACAAACGAGCTTTGTGATCTTGGGCAAACCAGGTAACACCCAAGGGCTTCAGTTTGCCCTGGTGCAAGAGGGCTGGATTCTATCATCCCCGTGATCCTTCCAGCTCTAATAGTCTGTGAATATAGCACTGAATACTCAGTCACAAATGGGCACCGGTCGTTCTCGTTCCACAGCAAACTGTAATCTTCAAACTGCATCTCACTGTCTGCCAGCTGCTTATAAACTACCTTCGCCTGAAATCGCCTGAAATCCTGGCCTATGCAGGATTTCAGAGGCCACCCCTTCAACAAATGGCCCTCAAACTAGGATGGGACTGAAAGGCACCGGGCTACAAAAGAAATCCTCCCTGTTGCCTGCATTTGAGGCATCAAATTTTAAATTATAATAGCATCATCCTGCTTTTTCAAGAGTGAAGGGCAAATGGAGAGTAAAAGAAACATTGGGTTGAGTGTCAATATTTTAGGTTGTATGGAACGGCCTCCTTCATCCCTCGAGAGAAAAGCAGAGCACCGTTGTTAATTATTATTCTTGGGAATAAGAAATCCAAGTCCCAGGTTCTCCCCCAAAGTGACTCCTACCTACAAGTCACTTCGCTGCCCCTGTCTGTGCACATCAGTTATGGTCACCCTCACCTAAGGTACTGACTTTTAAATTCTTAGTTTTGCTGCTAGATGCACAAAAGATGTCATGTTGTAATGGTGACTGTGCCCTCAGAAGGAAGGTGGACCTCAGGCATGGCCCAGCCACTCCAACAGAAATTTCCTTCTTCTCCATCATGGACATATTTTTAACTCTCAAAAGTTTTAAGTACATGGTTTTATTTTTAATTTAGAAGAATTTCATGGAGCAGAATTTGATGTTTCAAAGTAGGAATATTCTAGCAATATGAATAATGCTAATTTCCTGATGACTTTGATTTTCATTGACTAAATGTTCCTAAACTATGGCAATTCTTCTAGTTAAAGACACCAGAATCAAGAAAAGTCTTCCACAGGGGGCAGGGTTTCAAGGTTGGAACAGCATTATTCCATACATTCTTGATTGCTCGTTCAGTAGCTAATTTCTCCTCAAACCAAAAATGTGATGTCACCACGTGAACAGCGATATGGGAAAATGACTGAGTCTCACTAGAATAGAAACTAATATTTTACAGAAAAATAAGACTCTATGTTTTATTCAAGAAAACAGTCATTAGAAGAGTTCTTTGCTTTATAAGAGCCTCTCTGTTATTGTTGCTGCTGTTTTGCAGGGGGTTGGCTCTTGTTTTACAAACATCTCTTTTATTTCATATAAATTCTCAATTCCAACAAGGCTCTGCCACATAAATTAAATTCAAAAGATTTTGGTGCTCTGGAAAAGATGTCAAGGCCAGACGGTTTTCACAGGAAGCTTTCAGGTCTTTCTCAACTACAGTAAAAGCAAAATCTGTTTCCCTGAAATTTTTTTTTTCAAACGCTATCCAACAAAGCCCCCAAAACTAGATGTTTTAACTTGTCCTTGAGAAGAGGAGATGAACAGTGAAGAGACTTCAGCACATGTTTACTTCTTAGTAAGACGGTGAACATCAGTGAAGTAATCATTAATCATAGCTGGATTCCTCAGCAAAGATGTTGGCACTGGCACTCCAGCTGGTCACCAGCAATGACTACAAGTAACTCTAGAACACTGACGCCTATTGATTTGGAAGAGAATAAGGAACACAATGATGCCGACAGTGTACTGTTCCCCTCGGCTGGTCTCCATCTCAGGGCCTTGCAACATCACAGGCCCAGCTGTTAACCAGATGCAAGCACATGGGCACAGAGTGTGAGAAAAAAAATATTAGCATTATTTCCATGGAACTAGTCACATGGTTATTACAGAAATAATCAGCATTTAGCATACTACAATATTTGTTTTGTTCTTAAATGTTGTAACACCCTAGGGGAAAAAAATTATCTTTATTTGAAAAAGGTTAAAAATGAAAGTACGTGTTATATATCTTTGCTGGAAAATGCTGGGAAATAGATTTGTTGAAACCATATGGAAAGGAAGAGGGAATCAATTAAAAACAGAAATCTAATAAATCCAAAATATTTCCAAATGAAATGCTTGTGGTAAGCTAATTTCTTGTAAACAGTGCACTCAAGTCACTTGAACAGTCCCAGATGGTGAACTGACTTTGTGGTCTTAAAATAAAAGTCAGCCAAAAAACCAAAGTGACTACAACTTTATTATCAGTGTAGTGGGAAACAAGAGATCTATAATCAACCAATATATTACTTTTTTCCTTCATGAAATTTAAGAGGTTTGTGGAGTTTTACTAAACTGACAATTTCATTTAAATTTATAGGTGTTAAATGGAAGAATAAAAACTAAAATGACAATACTGAAGTTAGAAGGTAAAACCTACAGTTATTTCTAACTTAGAAAAATAAAATTATTTCCAAAAATGCCACAGTTTTGAAATATACTGCAAGGTCTAATTTCTATACTACCATGAATTTCCTTCAGTTGACATCTGTATGATTTTATTCAAGAAAAGTTCAAAACTCATCTTTTTTATGTTGAGTTATATGACCAGAAATTATGCCAGGCGGAATAAGTATCTACCCTACCTGCTCCACTGTTAATAATCCATTGGAAGATTCTGGCACGGACTGCATAGGGAGAAGCTGGCACAGTGTGCCTAAAAGTAAAGCAACTTCCTTCATACTTCGCCAACAACATACCAGCACCATCTGAGCAGTTACATCACATGTTTTTCTTTCTTTACCTTAAAAAAAAAAAAAGGATCAATTGCAACACTAGACACTTGATTACTCACATCCCAAGTTTCTTAGAATAAGATTATTCATCATTTCCCCAAGAATAATCTGCATGAACAAACCAATTGTTATATTTATTCATAATAAAACAACTAACATTTGTTGAGCATGTGCTCTAAGATTCATGCTAAGTATTTCTTTTTTTTTTTTTATAAACATATAATATATTTTTATCCCCAGGGGTACAGGTCTGTGAATCGCCAGGTTTACACACTTCACAGCACTCACCATAGCACATACCCTCCCCAATGTCCATAACCCCACTCCCCCTCTCCCAACCCCCCTCCCCCCATCAACCCTCAGTTTGTTTTGTGAGATTAAGAGTCACTTATGGTTTGTCTTCCTCCCAATCCCATCTTGTTTCATTTACTCTTCTCCTACCCTCTTAACCCCCCATGCTGCATCTCCTCTCCCTCATAACAGGGAGATCATATGATAGTTGTCTTTCTCCAATTGACTTATTTCACTAAGCATGATACCCTCTAGTTCCATCCACGTCGTCGCAAATGGCAAGATTTCATTTCTTTTGATGGCTGCATAGTATTCCATTGTGTACATATACCACATCTTCTTTATCCATTCGTCTGTTGATGGACATCTAGGTTCTTTCCATAGTTTGGCTATTGTAGACATTGCTGCTATAAACATTCGGGTGCACGTGCCCCTTCGGATCACTACGTTTGTATCTTTAGGGTAAATACCCAGCAGTGCAATTGCTGGGTCATAGGGTAGTTCTATTTTCAACATTTTGAGGAACCTCCATGCTGTTTTCCAGAGTGGTTGCACCAGCTTGCATTCCCACCAACAGTGTAGGAGGGTTCCCCTTTCTCCGCATCCTCGCCAGCATCTGTCATTTCCTGACTTGTTAATTTTAGCCATTCTGACTGGTGTGAGGTGGTATCTCATTGTGGTTTTGATTTGTATTTCCCTGATCATGCTAAGTATTTCTTAATGTACTATTTTCAAAATAAATTTTATTTTATTTTTTTAAATTTTATTTTTCTAACAGAGAGAGAGAGAGAGAGAGAGAGCACAAGTAGGGAGAGTAGAAGAGAGAGAAGCAGGCTCCCCGCTGAGCAGAGAGCCTGAGGCGGGCCTCGATCCCAGGATCCCAAAGATCATGACCCGAGCCAAAGGCAGTCACCCAACCAACTGAGCCACCCAGGCACCCCTCAAAATAAATTTTAAAATAAAACACAATATCATTTCAAAAATTAAGTCTAACTTTCAGAAATGAATGAAACAAACTCTTTTGTCTCTCAGTCCTCCTTAAATTCTGACTATAATAAGTATATTTCATTACTCATCTTGGTGAGGGTAGCTGTTATATCAGCAAAGGGGCAGGATAAAACTTTTAAAGTCAAAGGAAAATATAAATTCTCTTTCAAAATATATTTAAATTCCATAGCCAATAAACACCAATTATGCTTACTCTCTTTTTCTAGTTTTTAGAGTATTTTAGTATTAATATTAAAAAAAAAAATCCAAGGCAAGTTAACAAAGCAACCCATTTGTGTTTTTTAAAAGTCTACTAAACTAAAAGAGTAAATGCATATACCCGTCAATATGCAGAATAGATCTAAAAGCACATACACTCCAAAGAGAAGAAGTGGGGTGGGGGAGTCAATGAAGATCTTTAATTTTGTTTGTTGTTCTTTTTTTTAAAGGTAAAATGTAAACACTGAATTGAAATTTTAATTAAGGCTTTAAGTTGTTTTTAATTCAAATTTCCCTCGCTATTGCCTCAAACTATTACAACAAGCATATATTTAGATGTTATGCTGTGTAGTTTAAAAAAACGACGAGAAATTTTTATAAGAGAATATCTCCACCTAGTGGAGAATGTAGAATATGTACTAAGTCACTAAGCTATTACTGTTGATGACTCTTTATAGCATTATAGAAAATGATAAAATAACAACTAAAGAGAAAACAAGCAGTAGAATACAACTTTCAGAGGCTTAATACAACAGAGCAGCTCACGCTTTACTGAGTAATAAGGTTGATTTCCCTTCAGAAATCAAAGGACTTAATTTCTTGACCATAAGGACTCTCACTGCAGAGAACCACAGCACTAGGAGAAGCCCACTGTGGCCCAAACCCAAATTGACTGAACACCACCTGGCTGCCAAGACAGGTGTTCCCACTCAAAGGCTTTCTGCTGTAGCCCCTTATATATTATTGTCCTGGGGTGCATCATTTTCTGGTAAAAGTCTTAGATACAGACTCTCCAAAATAAATCACGGACAAGCTCCAAGACTTTATTATCTAGAAATGTTCTGCAAACCTATGTATCCTGATTTCCTATGTAAAAAGAACATTTTGTATATGATGTCACTGAAACACCAATTACAGTAATACAATATTGATTTTTTACATGCTACCTTTGGTCTCTGCAGAAGCACCAAGATTTGGCACACTGGCATTCAAGTCCTCCAAATCAAAGCTATCACGTTCTTTGAGAATTTTGGCTTGAGTGAAGTAATCATTAGTATCTCGTGGTTGAATCTCACTCAGAATCGTCTGTAAGCGGCTTGCTGACTCTGAGGGAGAGAGAAGGGAGTGCATAAAACACAGTTCTGCAGCACATGCAGATTTCCCTTGGGAGTATTTGCCCTCAATTATTTAAATTTTTTTTTTTTTTTTTTTTTTGAGAGAGAGAGCTAGCCAGCACGAGGCTGAATGAGCAGGGGTGGGAGGGAGAAGAGCAGAGGGAGAGGGAGAGAATCTTAAGCAAGCTCCATGCTCAGTGGGGAGGCCCACACAGGGCTCAATCTCATGACCCTGACATCATGACACGACCCAAAATCAAAAGTGCCACACTTACCCGACCGAGCCACCCAGGTGCTCCAAATTTTAAAAATTTGAATACTTAAAAATCAGCTTTATTAGAAGGAACTCATGGGGTAGATAATGTAAAAATTATTAAGGTCTTCATGACACTTGAGTGTGCTTTTAAAATACGGCAAAAATTTTAAATTGGTTGAAAACAGGACAAAACAACACAACAAAAACTCTCCACAGGACAAAGACCACTATCTCATTTACATCACTTTACTTTCTTTTTCTTTTTACACTGCTTTTCTTAGTGTTGTCTAAGGATCTCAAATACGGTGCTCAGTCATGTGAGAAAAGAAAACTAAACTTCAGGCAATTTGATTTTAAGAGGTAAGAAACCACAACAACAAAACAATCTTTAACACAATATTGTATTGTCAACTGTACTTCAATTAAAAATAAAGAAAAAAACCTTTTAGAGCTCAGGAATATTATGAAGACACCTTATTTATCTTCAAAAGGCATTAGGTAATATACTGCTTTCTAAGTATGATTTACAGTCCTTGTATTATATTGAACTTCATTTTTATTCTTAGGCACTCAATGAATTAGGAAATGTAAGCTCCACGAATGCGACACTTTATTCACGCTGAGTCTCCACCTACAACAGGAACCAGCTCATAGCAGAGGTTCAGTAACATGGGTTAAAAGAATGAACAGATGATGACGTAATGAAGAGCTAGGCAGGCTCACATAGTTTAAGAAAAAAAATAACAACAGCTAGTAACTTGAAACCAATTTTAAAAAAATCAAAGAACGGGTATTTTATAAACCTATTAGATACTTTTTTTTTAGATACTTACTTTTTTTTAGAAGATTTTATTTATTTATTTGTCAGAGAGAAAGAACATGCACAAGAAGGGGGAAGAGCAGGCAAAGGGAGAAGCAGGCTCCCTACTGAGCAAGGGGCCCATCTAGGGACTCAGTCCCAGAACCCCATGATCATGACCCAAGCCAAAGGCAAATGCTCAACCAACTGAGCTACCCAGGGGTCCCTAGATACACTTATATTTTAGGTCTCATAGGAGATACAAAGACCCAACACGCTGTCAAAATGACTCAACCACCTTATGTTCACTTATGGCTTCCGTAAAAATATTGCCAAAACAAATTTTGACAATCATGAAAAAGTAACACTGGCTCCAAAGAGAAACCATGGAAAGACTAAGAAAAAAAGGATGAGCAGAATAAATTTTTACCCATTAATTTTTATGGCTTTCAGAGGAAACGTTTTCAAATTCAGAATGCATGGTAGATAATGCAGGACAGAAATAGGAATAATGGAGACAACCTGAGGTAAAAAGAAAAGGCAAAATCAAGGAAAAGTCTAAGGGCCACAGACTATTTTTGAGACCAAAAGACATTCTAAAACTTTAATAACAGAATTTTGGCATATGCTATAGGCCCCACCCACGATGGATGACAAGTATTCAAGATTTCTCATCCAGAATATACTGATACTTGCCTGACCCAAATATTAGCTTTAAGATAGGATGTTTCTTATTCCCACATGTTGTTTTAGTAGGAAAACTAAAACATCAAGTTTTGGTAGACTACCACCCAAAATAAACAAATAACTGTGTCTTACTATCATAAACTGTCACCAATCTGCCAATTCATTTTTAGTAAAGAACAAAACCCAACATTTTCTATGCAAACGCGCAACTCCAAGTTACTTTAATTGGGTGTTTATGATACGCTCAGTGTGTTCTTAGTACAAGCCTCTTGTGTGCACTCCTCAAATGCATTCACAAACTTTATTTTAACACTAAACGTACACCTTTCCCAGACAATCCCTTCTGGCTGTTACAGGACAGGTATATATACGCCCACCTACAGCATCCCACGCACTGGGTTTAGTTCCTATCCTTTCTGGAACTGCTCACTCATTGATTTATTCATGGTAACAAATATTTATTGTATACCTATTTCTACCAGGCACTTGCTAAGGACAACAGAGGAAAGTATCGATAAAATCTTTCTTAAATCGCAATAACTCCATGAAGAACACTTTGGGAAGAAAAAGGGACAAGACCCGCAAGGTTGCAGGAGCCCACCTATTACAGGACCTGGTCTGAGGTCACTCAAGTATTTTAAACAAACGGGGTGGGGCAGAGCACAAGGGTTAAGCAGAGATTATGGGAAGCATGATGAATGACATGAGTAGGAAAGATTGCTGTGGATATAGTATAAAAAGAAAATGGAAGGAGCTGATAAGAGTAGATGGGGGTGAAACCAGCTGGAAGACCCCTAGAGTCATCCAAACAAGAGAGATTAAAGCCTGGGAGAAGGTAAGAGGGTGGCAGATAAAAACAAAAGAGATTTGAGAGATATTTAAGGGGTACCACTGAAAGAACATGAAGCCAAGCAAGATATGTAAGGAACAGAAGAGAGACATCAAGCACTGCTAGGCTCCTGATGTGCACAAACAGACCTTTGTTAGGGCCATTTGCAAAGACACAGGGCTTGGGAGGGAAAAGGGAGATGAAAGTTCATGAGTTCAATTTGGGGCATTTTGAGTATCTCCTCCTATTTTTTATTTTAATTAAACAGTCTCTGTATGTTAAATGCCCTTTGCCCATTCCTGATTCCTAATAAGCTTCCATCTCTGACTAAACCCCACCTCCTGATTTATTGCTCACTCTCCCAGCCCCAGCAGCTACCTGGTAGGTGGTGCTCTGAAATGACAATATTAGAAAATCTGATTTACCCTAGAAGAGGAAGTATCTTGTTCATCACCCGGTTCATTTATTTGTTTTGGTTATTTTTTAAGAGTTAAAGACATTACTAAAATGGCAGAAGATATCACTAACCATAATAAATAGCTTCTTGACCCACCTATTAGTTTCTGTATCTTCCCAAAGAAATGATTTGGCAGGGAGAGGCACAATGAGCAAAAAATACAGGAATTCTAGCTTTTTTCATTTGCTGACCTGAATCAGTGTCCATTGGGATAAGGCCCTCTGGGGAGGAGCTCTGAATGACAGGAGACACCACAGCAGAAAGCCTGTAAGACATCAAAAGGAGCTTCTCTACCACAGGTCTCCATTCGCTCACCAACCGCAGGCTACTGCAACGAGGACAGTAAGGAAATTTACACTAAAAGCAAAATTCAAAATTTTCAAATGGAAATTACATAAAAGAATCTATTTCAAAATTGTGCAATCTATGAAATATTTAAGATATAAAAATATGTGTACATTTTTAAAATCTAATTTTTAATTATCTTTAAGTCAATATACTCCTTTCCCAGGACACATTCCAGTAAGGGTTTAAAGTTCAGAAACGCATGCTCAGGAGAGAGCTGTGGCTACACTTACTTTAGAGATAACCTCTGCAAAGCTCCAGTGATACAGTGAACTCGCCCATACAGTGGAAATGATGCTGCTGCCTGAAGGAGAGAATTTTCCGCCTGAGATACTTCTTCCTCAAGATTTTCCAACAAGCATTTGATGACTAGAAAAAGCAAACAAAAAAACCAAAGTAATGCCCGCTTAAAAACACATTTATAAATTTGTGAATAGCTTAAAAGTCTCCACAGAAAAATCCAGCTCAACTCAACTGTGTTAGAGGTTTTATATTAAAAAAGAAATTTTCAAAGTGATCCAGCCTGCTATGCATTTCCAGTCAAGAAAGCAGAACTGGGTCTTTCCCTAACTTCCTGGATCCGTTTTCAGCATTGACTCTGAATCATTCCTCCTAGACATCCTCTATCTAGGGAACCAGACCCCAGGCCCATGCACCATGGGCTACTTGAACAGTTGTTGTTTTGTGGTTTTTTTTAAACAATGCCTTTATTGAGGTATAATTCACATACCACACAATTTACACATTTCAAGTATGTAAGTCAGTGGTTTTTAGTATATTCACAGATATGTGCAATCATCACTACAGTGAATTTTAGAACATTTTAATCCCCCCCCCCAAAAAAACCCTTACCCATTATCAGTCACTCCCCTCCTTGCATCTCTCACCATCCCCAGCCCTAAGCAAAAACTTATCTATTTTCTGTGTCTATAGATTTGCCTATTCCGGACACACATAAACAGAATCATAAAATATGGGGCTTCTTCCACTTAGCAGTGTTTTCAAAGTTCATCCACACTGGATCATACAGAAGTATTTCATTCCTTTTTATGGCTGAAAAACAGTCCCTTGTATGAACACACCACATTTTATTTATCCATTTATCAGTTAATAGCTGTTCCTGTGTTTTGGCTATTAAGAATAATTCTGCTGTGAACATTCACATACAAGTCTTTGTTTGGGCATAGTTTTCATTTCTCTCAATGTACGTCCAGTATGGACTAAATGTTTACATCCTTCCCCAAATTCCTATTTGAAGCCCCAAGTCCCATATTTGAAAATGGAGTCTTTAGGAGGAAATTAGGTTTAGATGAGATTGTGAGAGTGGGACCCTTATGACGGGATTAGAGTCCTTCTAAGAAGGGGAAGAGAGACCAGAGCTGGCTTCCTCTCCTCCATGTGAGCACAGAGCAAGAAGGGTGCTGTCTGAAGCCAGGGAGAGGGTTCTCACCAGGAACTGAAATTACTCACACCTTAATCTTGAACTTCCCAGCCTCCAGAACCATGAGAGATAAATGTTTGTTGTTGAATCCACCCAGGCTAAGGTATCCTGTTACAGCAGCCTCAGTGTGGAACTGTAGGATCATATGGTAATGCCATGTTTAACTCTCTAAGGAACTGCCAGACTGTTTTCCAATGTAGCTGTACCATTTTATATTCCTGCCAGCAGTGGGTGAAGGCTCTGCTTTTATTTTGTTTATAGCCACCCTACTGGGTGTGAAGTGCTTCCTCATTGTAATTTGGATTTGCATTTCCCTACTGGCTAATGATGTGGAGCATCTTTTCATGTGATTATTTTTCACATTTATCTTTTATGGAGAAATGTCTATTCAGATTCTTTGTCCATTTTTAAATTTGGTTATATCGTTTTACTAGGGATTATTTTTCACATTTATCTTTTATGGAGAAATGTCTATTCAGATTCTTTGTCCATTTTTAAATTTGGTTATATCGTTTTACTAGGGAGTTGTAAAAATTCCTTATATATTCTAGATATAAGTCCTTTCTCAGATAAAGGAACCCCAAATATGCTTCCCATTCTACAGGTTGTCTTCTCACTTTCTTAAGGACATCCTTGACACATGTTTCAAATTTTCATTAAGTCCAATTTATCTATTTTTTCTTTGCTTGTGCTGTGGATGCCAGATCTAAGAAACCACTATCTAATCCTAAGATTACAAAGATTTACCTCGTGTTTTCTTCTAAGAGTTTTATTCTTTTTAGTTTTTGTATTTAGGTCTTTGATCCATTTTAAACTAATTTTTGCGTATGGTATAAAGAAGTAGGTTCAGCTTCATTCTTCTGCATGTAACTACTCAGTTATCCCAGCACAGACGGTATCTCCTCTAACCACTCTAGAGTTATACTTTAAATTTTAAAGCTGTGTATAACCAGTAAATTATTAACATTTAAAATACACAAAGAAGTTCTAAAAAATCAATAGGAGAAAGACAAACAGCCCTACAGAAAACTAAAGAACATGAACAGGAATTTCACAGAAGGGGAGAAGTGAACTGCTTATAAACATGTAAAAAGATGCTCAGTTGCATTAGCAACCAGAAAAATGCAAGATGAAACCACAAGATACCACTTTATATTCCATAAACCTCTAAAATCTGACAATAGCAAGTTATAGTGATGATGTAATATACAACTCTTCAAAATTTATTGGTGGTAATGTAATTTAAAAATCTATCTGCCATCACCTAGTTAAGTTGAAGATGCACATACTTTATAACAAGGCTATTCTACTTTTTTGTTTACCATAATATCTCAGACCTGTCCATTAGAAGAGATATATATGAGAATGTTCACATCAGCTTTATTTATTTAGAAAAAAGAAGTCCCTCAACAGGAGAATGCATTAATAAAATGCAGTAAATTTGTATAATACATATGGTACTATTTATATAAAATTCAAAATCATGTCAAAGTAAATAATATATTGCTTAATGATATATACATGGGTGGTAAAATTTTGGTAAAAACAAGATGAAAGACTGATATAAAACACAGAAGAGTTATTATGTGGCTGGGGAGGGAGCTAGGATAGAAGAGAAGCTTTAAAGGTATGGGTGCTATTATACTTCTTAATTGACTGTAATTACCTAGCTTGGGAATAAAACTTGTGACATTTTTATACAATTACTGTTTATAGCCTATATCTATATTTAAATATTTTTATATGCTTGAAATAGCTCATAGTTTTTTTAAATGACTTGAATTTGAAAGCCTGTACATGAACAGTTTGCCCCAAGTACAAACCTCTTCCTGTCATGTATTAAGGTCTCCTTTCGAGTCCAGCCCTGAAGCAACTAGAGTGGACAGGTGCTATCTTCCATGGAACTTGTCCCCTCCTTATCCCCATTTCCAACAGAACTACCCACGGCCTCCTAATTTTCTCCCATTATTAGTTCCCTTTCTCGGGGCATTTTTTACCATCTTGGAGACAACAGTTTTTAACACTCTTCCTACATCTGACCCCCCCCCTTTTTTTTTTTAAATAAAAATCCGTATCTGTCCTTATTTACAATGCAAGTCCAAATGAAGATTTATTAGCACAAAATTAAGCACATGAATCCCCAAGAAATATTTATTGGAAATCACTAGACCTAAACCAGTCAGCTAGGTTTTAGAACTGGCTATATGGGAAGAGAAAAAGGCAGGGGTCTGACACTCAGTTAAAACATAAACCTGATAGACAAAGGAACTCTGCTCTTTATAGAAAGAGCAAAGATGATCTGGCTATAGTCATAGTAAAATTTCTGCCCCCAAAAAAGTACATTTTTTATAAAGACGTCCTATTTAAATAAGAGCTCTATTAGTGTCCATTTGAATAATCTACAAATAAGTAGATTATTTAAACATGAATTTAAACATGAATCCTCTGTTTAGAAACAGTGTTATAGCTCAGTAAATTATTTATTTGCAAAAGAGAAATTCGCAGTATTCTTATATACTAGTAAACTCTTCAATTAAAAAAAAAAGAAAAAAAAAAGAACAACAAAAAAAAACAAAAAAAAAAAAACCAAAAAAAAAACCCAAAAACAAAACACAAAATAGGGGCTCCTAGGTGGCTCAGGTCATGATCTCAGGATCCTGGGATCAAGCTCCAAGTTGGGCTCCCTGCTTCTCCCTCTCTCTCTGCTATTCCCCCCTGTTTGTGTTCTCAATCTCTCTCTTCCTCATTCTCTCTCTCAAATAAATTTTAAAAACCTTTTAAAATTTTTTTAAAAATGTAAAAAACACAAAATAAATGTTTGCCACTAGCTATGCTAACTAAATGAATAGAGAGAAAGTAAGATACTGGTTTTGATAAGCAACAGCAAAAGGACATTTATTCAATACAAACCCATTAATGTGTTCCTCTCCACCACAATGGCAGACTTATCTCCAGCTCCACATGCAGCCTGCTGAGTTTTTAAGTAGGCAGACAGAGATGAGGGCAGGGCATCCTGCCAGATTAAGAAGTTCAGCAGGTAGGAAGCTGTCACACAGTCATATGGTTTAGTGCTTGAGCTGAGCTCCAATGCTGCTTGGAATAAGCCTTGCAGTTTCTCTGAATCCTGGAATAAAGAACACACTCAGTAACTGTCACTGAAACATTTCTTTAATTTGAAGGAATTTAAAATCAGAGCCTGCCACATAACTGAAATTTGATATAAATATTAATTCAATTCCCCTTTTCCCAGAATATAGGTTAGACTTTTTTTTATTGTAGTTATTACTGATTATTATTATTACTCAGCTCTAGTGATGAGGATCTTGAAAATAATGTGATTGGGAAATTGACACTGATAAAGCTTTTTTTTAGTACCTCTTTCTCCAGCAGAAGCATACTTTTTCTTGTAGAAATTCTGCGATGACTATAATCAGAAATCTTTTTATTTCCATATAGACCAGAGGGTTTTTTTTGTATGTTGAAGTCTGTTTTACCTGAGCAGCATACTCCTACACTCCCCTCAACCCCCTCCCCATTCAGCAAATTCAATGGAAAAAAAATAGAAATTCACACAAAAGTACAAATCCACAGGGCTATTCCTGGCAAAGATCCATATATATATATATATATATGTAGAAAATAAAGGGATCATATCAGCCTCAGAAATTCTCCATCAGAGCTCCCACACCTATATGTCATAGAAACATCCACTCACACACATGTCCTAAAGAAGAGACTAAAGGACAGTTCACTGTAATCTGTATGGAAAGGCACTGGGCTGAGGTCAAGAGACAGCATATTACATGTTCACTACACTGGGTTTCAGGGTTTCACTGCTCAATAATATTAATTCTACTAGGATTACTCCATAATTGTCTAATGCAAGGGAAAAAAATCATTACAAGATTAACTTTCATTTATTTATTTTTTTTATTTTTATTTTTCTTTTACAAGATTAACTTTTAATTTGGCTATAGGTACACCAATATTTACTTTAATTGGAAATCTATTAATTTACAATAGATATCAAACATATTGATTCAAATACCTGTTTCTTTCAGTTTAAATTCTTTATCATTTGATATGTTTAATTTTCTGTGACCTAAAAAACTTAAAGAGAGTGGCCAAAAGTTCAAATCAAAATAAATAATAAAAAGAACCAATTAAGCATCTAAGCCCTTATTTTTTGATAACAAACAGTTAGGTCCCTGAATTGCTTAACTGACAAGTAAGAAACACAATAAATAGCCTTTGGAGTCTAAAGTATCTTTGTTCCAGGGCGCCTGGGTGGCTCAGTCGATTATGCATCTTGCCTTGAGTTCAGGTCATGATCCCAGGATCCTAGGATCCCAGGGTCCACTGACTCCCCAGTCAGTGGGGAGTCAGCTTCTCCCTCTCCCTCTGCTGTTCCCACTGCTTGTGCTGTCTCACTTGCGCGCGCATACGCGCACTCTCTCTCTCTCTCAAATAAATAAATAAAATCTTAAAATAAATAGGGGCACCTAGGTGGCTCAGTGGGTTAAAGCCTCTGCCTTCAGCTCAGGTCATGATCCCAGGGTCCTGGAATCAAGCCCCGCATCGGGCTCTCTGCTCAGCAGGGAGCTTGCTTCCTCCTCTCTCTCTGCCTGCCTCTCTGCCTACTTATGATCTCTGTCTGTCAAATAAATAAATAAAATCTTTCAAAAAAAAAATCTTAAAATAAATAAATAAAATATCTTTGTTCTATCATCTAAGGTCAGTAAAAATATAATATAAAGACCTTGGATATGTAGTTCTACAAGAAAAAAGGGCAACAGACAATGTGAGTAATAAAGTCATATACTACAAAAATATGCCATCAAAAATATATATACATAGGTCCTTAGAGAAATTAGTTTGGATTCAAAAACATTTTAAAGTTATTTCAAAGGACCAACCAAGTCTTTCATATAGGTGCTATATATATACCCCCCCCAACTTGAGATAGTTTCAAAATATTTGCCAGGAATGAGTCATAGGTATATATGTATGATATACAAATGACATATATATATCATACATAATAAAAGCCTTCAGTGTGATGAATGGTAAGGGACAAGGAGAATGAGCAGGTGGAAGAGAAGAAAGGAAGAGAAAGCACCTCCTTTAAAAACTCCATTTGGTACAAAAGCTAGAAGCCCAAGCATCAAAAGAAGCTTCTGCTTACCAAGGCACCTGAAAGATCACAAAGATAAACGGACACTGGAGAACCACTCCTAATACAGACCCAAGTTAGAAAAGATGCTCTAGGATCTTGCAATGCCATCTGGAAGCCAATGAAACAGATTCCTTGTGATCTCTGACATGTGCTCCTACAGAATCCCACTGCATCTCAGGGCGCCTGTGTGGCTCAGTGGGTTAAACATCTGCCTTCGGCTCAGGTCATGACCGCAGGGTCCTAGGATTAAGCCCCACACTGTGCTCCTTGCTCAGTGGGAACATCCTTCTCCCTCTCCCTCTATCCCTCCCCCTGCTCTTGTGCTCTTTCTCTGATAAATAAATAAAATCTTAAAAGAAGAAGAAGAAGAAGAAGAAGAAGAATCCCACTGTATCTACAAGCTGTCCTGCCCTAGCTAGAGCCTAACAGCCAGAGAACAGACTCAGCAACAGCCCTGGTAGACGCCTTTGGCCTCTATAAGCTCTAACAGAAAGCCAGAGCAAAGCCCTAGAGCCAATAAACCCACAGATGCTGGTGATCTCACAGCCCCAGAACACACCTCAAGGGCACAGCCAAGCACCTTGGCTGGAGGGTCCCCTGCAGACCCATCCCCATGCTGTGCCCTCACTCTCGAGCCCCCCCTTTTCTTCCCACCCCACGTTTGGCAGTGCCTGCTGTCAGGAAGAGAATGGGGGCTAGGGATGGGGTAAAAGGCAGGGGTCGAAAACTGCTGTTAACCTCAAGTACCCTGAGTTTCAGTCTCAGTTTAGCTATTGCTTGTTGAAAGATCAGAAACACATTCTCTGCCTCACTTATACTCAGCTTCCCAGTCAACTTAGCAAGGATGTTATCTCAAAAAACGCAAGTTACTGTAAGTGATGTGTTTTGACAGAATATTAACATGTCCACAGTAAAACGGGAACTGGGGAGACCACAGTTAACTGAAATCTACCAATACTCCTGTGAGCAAGAAAACCTACCACTTCTTACACGTCCTTTTTTTTACCAAAACAATAAAAGAAGCAAAGCTCAAGGATTTGTAGTTCATTTTCTCTCATGGTATTTCCTTTCTTCACACCATCCATCCCTACCTCCTCCAACCTCTCACCCTGCAACACTAGGAGTATTAATGATAAGTGAAAGATCAGAAGATGTGAGAAGGTAGACGCAAAAAGCCTGCATAATCCACAGATTGCTTTATTTGCTGCTAAAATAAAGTCTTCATGCGTACACCACATTCACATTCACACAGGAAGGTCCAAATACCTGAAACTGTACAACTGTTTTTGGTAACTTCATCAGAAGATCAAATGCTAAAATCTTGACTTCTTCAAAAGTGCTGGTAAAACATTCCATTAGTGTGTGGAAGCGACTAATATCAATATCATGGCTCAGCTGATACACTGTTTGGACTTGACCTAAAAATAGAAAAAGATTTAAAAGTGAATAATAAGAGGGGGCGCCTAGCTGGCTCACTTGGTAGAGCATGTGACTCTTGATCTGAGACTCGTGAGTTTAAGACCCACGTTGGGCATGGAGCCTACTTAAATAATTTTTTTTTTAAGTTAATAAAAGAAAAAGGAGGGGCGCCTGGGTGGCTCAGTGGGTTAAAGCCTCTGCCTTCGGCTCAGGTCATGATCCCAGGGTCCTGGGATCGAGCCCCACATCGGGCTCTCTGCTCAGCAGGGAGCCTGCTTCCTCCTTTCTCTCTTTCTGCCTGCCTCTCTGCCTACTTGTGATCTCTGTCTGTCAAATAAATAAATAAAATCTTTAAAAAAAAAAAAAAAAGAAAGAAAAAGGAAATCAACATGTTAAAGTTATCTGACCAAATTTATAGAAAATTGGTGCAAATATTCATATCCACAGTTTGCCCATAACAGCACAAAAGAATAATTTTTCCTTACTTCCTAAAATGATAAAATATTAAAGTTCTCCAAATAAAAAGCACTTCTTAAAATTTTGTTTAAAACCACTTCATTCTAGGAGCACCTGGGTGGCTCAGTTGGTTAAGCCTCTGTCTTCGGCTTAGGCCTCCTGGGATCAAGTTCCTCATCAGGCTCCCTGAGGCTTCTCCCTCTGCCTCTGCCTCTCTCTCTCTCTCTCTGTCTCTCATGAATAAATGAAATTTTAAAATCTTTAAAAATATATAAATAAACAAAACCACTTCATTCTTTTTCAAAAGGTTATACTGTATATAAAAGATTCCTAAGTTAGTTTTTAAACAAATAAAAAAAATAAATTTAGGAATGACTTCTAAAAAATCTTTGTAAAATGTCTTAACCTAGAATCCAAAGTCCTACCATGTCTTAGTTAAACCAACATAGAATAATTGATATGATGATGTATCCTAATAGAATTGCTAGGCATCAAAGATAGTGAAGGAGTCTTCTGGCTATTCAGGCACAAAAGCTCAATTTATCTCCAAAATGGGACAACATTAACTCTTCACCTTAGCAACTTGTAGTGCTAGAAGACTGTGGAGCAACAATCTCAGAGAAAGGTGTGGTGAAAAATTATACATCAATATCCTACTCCAGGGGCGTCTAAGTGGCTCAGTTGGTTAAGCATCCAAGTCCTGATTTTGGCTCAGGTCATGATCTCAATGTCCTGAGATTCAGTACTGCACTGGGCTCCACACTCAGGGTGGAGTCTGCTTGAGGATTCACTCTCTCCGTCTGCCCCTCCCCTATGCTCTCTCTGTCTCTCTTGAATAATAATTAAATAAATCTTAAAAAAAAAAATCCTACTCCAGCATCAAGAACAATGTCAAAGGAAGCATTTTTGAATGTTTAAGAAATTAAGAACTATATTTCCCCAATAACTCTTCTCAAAACAAAGGTGAACTGCAGCCAACCAAGAAATGAACAGAAAAACTATCACAAAAAAATTATGGTAGTCACCAAATCCACTTAACTCTGAGATTAAGACTAAACAATTGTGGCAATAACAGGTTTCACAGAATGCGAAGAACATTAACAAGATTTAACATAATACCCACTCTGATAACACCTGAAAACATGAAGATGTTCAATATGATGTGCATTTCTTTTTTATTTATTTTTTTTAAAAGATTTTATTTATTTATTTGACAGAGAGCGATCACAAGTAGGAAGAGAGGCAGGCAGTGGGGGGAGGGAAGCAGGCTCTCTGCTGAGTGGAGAACCCGATGCAGGGCTCGATCCCAGGACCCATGACCCAAGCCCAAGGCAGAGGCTTAACCCACTGAGCCACCCAGGCGCCCCCACATTTCTTTTTTAATCTTAATTCACAAGTTAGTGCAAACCTGTGAAATTCCTAAAGCAAGTGAATGGAGTTTTTGTCATTTCATTCATGCCTCTGCTTAAATTTGCTTCTTTTCCAACTCAGATGCTTTTAATTCCTTTTTCTTGCCTTACTGCTCTGGCTGAAGTTTTCAGGACAATGGTGACACCAGTGGGCAAATGAGCAACTGTGCCTTGTTCCTGATCACAAAGGAAAGACTTTCTTTCGGTCTTTTACCATTGAGTTTGGTGTCAAGTGTGGGTTTTTCATGAATGTCCTTTAACCTACTGAGGAAGCTCCTTTCTCTTCCTAGCTTCTTGAGTGTATATTTATCATATCAGGATGCTGAATTTTGTCAACAGTTTTTCTGTATCAGTTGAGATTATCATGAGGTTTTTCCCCCATCATTTTAATGTGGTATATTACATCGACTATTTTTTTCTTACATTGAACCACCCCTGCATTCCTGGGATAAATCCACTTTGGTTAGTCATGGGTATAATACTTTTAATAGGGTGTTGGGTTTGGTTTGCTAGTATTCTCTTGAGAATTTTTGCATTTATGCTCATAAGGGATACTGGCTTATAGTTTTCTTGTGGTGTCTCTGTCTGGCTTTGGTACTAGGGTGATGCTGGCTTCACAGAATGAGTTTGGAAATGTTCCCTCCTGTCCAATTTTTTAGAAGAGTTTGAGAAGAACTGACATTAATTCTTTAAATGTTCGGTAGAATTCACCAGTAAAGCCACTCCCTCTGGACTTTCCTTTACTGAGAGGCTTTTAATTACTGACCTGACCTCTTATTTGCTACGGATAACAAATTTTCTATTTGTTAAGTCAGCAATTTGTCTGTTTCTAGGAATCTGTCCATTTCATCTAAGCTACCTAATTTATTGAAAATGTAATTGTTCATAATACTGTCTTACAATCCTTTTTATTTCTGTAAGGTCAGTACAAATGTCCCTGCTTATATTTCTGATCTTTGTTATTTGCACCTTCTTTTGTTTTATTCTTAGTATAGCTAAAATTTTGTCAATTTTGTTGACCTTTTAAAAAAACAAACGTTTGTTTTTGTTGATTCTCTATAATGTTTTCGTATTCCCCATGTTGTTTGTCTTTGTTCTAATCTTCATTTCCTTCCTTCTACTAAATTTGGGTTAGGTTTGCTCTTCTCTTTCTCATTCCTTGAGGTGTAAAGTTAGCTTATTGATTTGAGATCTTTTTTAGTTTTTAGGTATTTACAGCTCTAAATCTCCCTAACAGCACTGCTTTTGCTTCATCCCATAAGTTCTGGTAAATTATGCTCTTTTTTCCTTCCTCTCAAAGTATTTTCTAATTTCCCTTGTGATTTCTTCTTTGATCCACCGGCTGTTTAGGAGCTCTGCTCAAATCTGAAACCTTCTCTGACACCATTGTATAAAACAGCTCCCCACCCCCCTAGACTCTCTATATTCCCCCAACTTTCCTTCCTGAAATATTTTTTCATAATACTTATCTCCATCTGATATTCTATGTGTTACTTGTTATTCTATTGTCGTCTCCCTTCACTAAAATATCTAAGCTCAAGAATAGGAAGCATTTTGTTTTGTACACTGCATATCCTTAGCTGTTTGACATATATAGTAAGCATTAAATAAATATTTGCTGGGCAAACCCTTTTAATATAATTGTGAAATCCAATTTTTCACCACGAATACTGTGACATTTATTCTAAGTGAAAAAGGTACATGTGGCTTATTCTTCTTGAACTAGGAAATACTTAAGGAAAGGCAGAAACCATTTTGACTAATCCCAAATCACAGTTCTTCAAAAAAATAATATAAAAACCCACATTCAGGGGCACCTGGGTGGCTCAGTGGGTTAAGCCTCTGCCTTCGGCTCAGGTCATGATCTCAGGGTCCTGGGATCGAGCCCGGCATGGGGCTCTCTGCTCAGCGGGGAGCCTGCTTCCCCTCTCTCTCTGCCTGCCTCTCTGCCTACTTGTGATCTCTCTCTCTCTCTCTCTCTCTCTCTCTCTGTCAAATAAATAAATAAAATATTAAAAAAAAAAACCCACATTCAAGTTCTTGAAGTAAAGGTAAAGAATGAATTTGTGTTTTCCACCCTTTAATTCATGGTTGTGTCTCTTTAGCCCCTTTAAAGTTCATAGCTAAAGGGGCACCTGGGTGGCTCAGTTGCTTAAGCGTCCAGACTCTTGATTTCAGCTCAGGTCATGGATCTCAGGGTCATGAGATCCAGGCCTGCATCAGGCTCTGCTCTGGGCCTGGAAGCTGCTTAAGATTCTCCCTCTCTCTCTCTCTTCCTCTCTGCTTCTACACTTCCCACCCCCTCTCCCTCTCTAGAAAGAAAGAAAGGAGGAAAGAAAGAAAGAAAGAAGAAAGATAGTTAGTTAATGGGTAAAGTATGGCTTGCTCCATTTGCATTACCTTCCAGTTGTTTAATTAACATAATTACTGTGATATCAGTCACTGCCCAATTATATGTGACTCATTCATTAGGAAGATGACTCAGGTTATTCACTTTTTAAAGTACACTTAAATATATTAAACACTCTCTCAATTAAAAAATTACCAGTGCAATTCAGGCTAGTGTTCTTTCTCAACACCTAGGTGCAACCATAACTATATTAAACATACAGAAAAATTTTTGTTAAATGGGTAATCAAATCACTGTCAAGAAAAACCTTATTTTCTAAATTCAGTTGCAGTACCACTGAAATTCCCTTAACTGATGGATACCACTGTATTCATTTTCTGTGCATGTTGTAACACATTACCATAAACCTGGTGGCTCAAAACCACAGACATATATTTTTTCACGGTACTGGAAGCCATTTTGTTTAACGTCCAATTAGTCTGATAGAAGGTGCTGGTGGGGCCATGCGTAGTCTAGAGGCTCTAAGGGAAAACTCATGCCTTGCTTTGTTCCTCTTCTGGAGGCTGCCAGCATTCTATGGCTTGAAGCCATATCACTCCAATCTCCACATCACTATCATAGTGACTCCTCCTATTCTGTGTGTTATATCTCCCTCTGTTCCTCTAACAACAGCTGTGGTGGCATTTAGGCCCATCCAGATAATCCAGAATTATCTCATTTTAAGATACTTAATTTATCATATCTACAAAGGCCCCCTTTCTACGTAAGGTTCACATTCACAGGTTCTAAAGATTTAATGATATCCTTTGTGGGTTGCTTTTCAGCCTACCACTTATTATCCTAATCAGGTGATCAAATTTATCATCATGAGTAACAGGACAAACCAAACTCATGTACCTCCTGATACGATGCCCTGGGAAGAACACCACATTACCTGTGCAATATTCTTACCCAAAATGCGCAACCTAAGTCAATCATGAGGAAACAATAAGGCAAACCCAAATGCAGACACATTCTCCCAAAATGTTAATGTTGCAAAATAAAAAACTTTCCAGATTGAAGGAGGCTAAAGAGGCATAACAACAAAATGCACTGTGTAATCTTGGATCGTTTCCCAGATCACAGCAAAAACTTCCCTTTTCTAAAAAAAGCCACTTAATGGGATAACTGGCAAATTTTGTTATAGATTATATATTAGATAACAGCATCATGTCAACATTAAATATCCTGAATTTGATCATTGTGTCATGGTTAGAAAATAAATGAGATGGAGATAAACCAAATACAGCAAAATATTAACAACTGATGAATCGAGGGAGCGGGTACACGGCTGTTCATGAACTATTCCTGAAACTTTGCTGTGGTGGTTTGAATCTTTTCATAATAAAAACTTGAAAAAAAAATGGTGTCCTTCAAATGAAGCAAGGCTGTATTAGCAGCAAAATCCGTCCTCCTCCCTGCCAAAAAATTATACTTTGTTGACAAATTTAAACTAAAAATAATAATACTAAATACGACTACTATTACTACTGCTACTAATAAAAATAATAAGGCAACTATAGTATAAAGCTCCCTGGTCCTCTGGCCATTCTCTCCAATAGAACAGCTGAGCAGGATATTTTTCTATTTGACCACAGTCAAGGAAGACTGAGCACAAACAAGAAATCCACATCAAAACATACACACTCACGTACAGAGATAAAAAGAAGCATTGATTGTCAAAAAGGAAAAAAACTGACTCAGAAGGAAGCTAAATGTTCATCCTCTTGAGTGCCCCACAGGAGAAATAAAGGCTATCACTAAACCAGAATGCCTGGAAATGACATCCTCATGTTGCGTTTCTGAAGCCAGATCAAGACTTAATGAAACTGACAGCGTATAAGGGAAACCACATTTTAACCACAAAGACTCACTGAGGAATGCTATACACAAAGAAACTATTATTTTGTTCTAATTTTTAAAACTTAAAGAACAGATTGTACACTATCTTCAAATAGCAACACATGAATTGGAGGTTGAGAGAAGCAACTCTTCTCATAATAAGCGTAATCCATGAAAACTGGAGTTTTGGGTTGGGAAATAAAGACCACTGAAAACAACTTCTCAGCCTTACGTCCTTTACTGGCAAATTTAATTATGTCCAAGTAAGAATTACAGACTAAGCGTAAAAACCTCCCCTAAGAACCTAAACATAAGACAAAAAAAAAACTAAAACTTAAAATAAAACAAAATGTTGATAAAGTGTGTTTTGCAAGAAAAAATACTTTCCCGAAACATTATTGAAAGCTTACCTTCTGGGACAGGAAAAACTTCAGCTATTGAGCCTAAAATGGTTAAAGCTGAAAATCTAGTTGGGTAGGAAGACCCAGGAAACAGTGCTTCGAAAAGACGGTTGCAAATGGATGACATGAAATTCTAAAAGAAAAAAAAAAATACAGTAAGTATAATCTTTAATTCATAATAGGTTATTTTCAAAGAAACACCTTCAAGAGTGGGGTTCTTCTTTAATTAACAGGGAAAAGATTTTTAGTAACAATGCTAGTTATTTACTGCGCTGACAATTCAGATTGGTACCCTTGACCACAAGCTATATCATGACTTCAACAAACCCTACTTTGGTAGGTTCAACAAGAAGTATAATTTCTATTGTAGTCCACACAAGAAAATCCAATACCCAGCACCCATTTTTGGTGAAAGCAAGTTCTGGGCTAAAGCTATACAAATATTGGTTTTCTTCACAAGAGATGTTCAGGCATCAAAGTTATGTATATTTTTTTAAAGTTTTTAAATAACCAAAAAAAAAAAAAAATCCAAAACAGACTACTTGATAAATATGGTAAGTACAATACTTGATAAATGTGGCTATAATGACACAATTCATAAATAGATCCAACTATCCCATTGTCTTCTATACTCCCCTTTGAGACACTTGCTCTGCCATTCTGTTTACATACGTGATAAAAAAATGGAAATTTTCAGTAAAATACAATTTTTAAAAAATGGGAAATAGTTCATCCAAGATAAAGACTTCTTTCTCTGGTTAAAATAATAATTATTATTACTGTCTCTGTATAAGATGGAATAGAAAACCATAGAACTTAAAAGGAAGGGGTCCCTGGGTGGCTCAGTGGGTTAAAGCCTCTGCCTTCAGCTCAGGTCATGATCCCAGACTGCTGGGATCAAGCCCTACATCGGGCTCCCTGTTTGGCAGGGAGCCTGCTTCCCCCTCTCTTTCTGCCTGCCTCTCTGCCTACTGTGATCTCTGTCTGTCCAAAAAAAAAAAAAAAAAAAATCTTAAAAAAAAAAAAACAACTTAAAAGGAAAAGCCGTGATTCTCAAGCATCTCACATATACCACTATACCCTAACAATGTATATTTGTAACTGAGCAGCACATAAGCAGTTCTAGTCCCAACTGATTCCAGAAAAGATCTCAGCATCCATTTCTTTGGTCAATGATGTACAATCTGGGGATTTATCCTATAGGCACTTGCAAGACCTAAGTAAGAGTTCGCTAGTTTTTAAAATCTACTGGGTTTCAAGGGAACAAAGTAGTGATTGAAAATATCCTGGGGGGAAAAAAAAAGAAAAGAAAATATCCTGGAGCGCCTGGGTGGCTCAGTGGGTTAAGCCTCTGCCTTCGGCTCAGGTCATGATCCTAGGGTCCTGGGATAGAGCCCCGCATCAGGCTCTCTGCTCAGCAGGGAGCCTGCTTCCCCTTCTCTCTCTGCCTGCCTCTCTGCCTACTTGTGATCTCTCTCTCTGCGTCAAATAAATAACTAAAATCTTAAAAAAGAAAGAAAGAAAAAATGGAGCTCATTTTAATTATAAATGAGTAGTACAGTATTCATGTTAAAGGGTAACAAGTTCATCCAAATAAAAATGGAGTTCATTTTAATTATAAATGAGTAGTACAGTATTCATGTTAAAGGGTAGCAAGTTCATCGTATAGGAATGATCTTAACTGTAGTACCATTTATATTTTTAGAAATAGATTCTTTCCTTCAACCACACTATAACCATAGTGGAGGCATGACCACAGTTTATATATTCATATCCCTAGTTCTAAGCATGTTGTCCTAAACATATAGGACAGGCTTGATATATGCTCTTGCCACTTTTAACAGCCTCCAAATACCTTAGCCTAGCACTCAAAAATCTCTTTAGGTTATGCAGGCATCTTCCCTACTTGCCTTTAAGGTTTCTTGCCATGTTACATAGCTAAAGCTATTGAAAAGCGACATTAAAATTGTTAAAAGTGGGGCGCCTAGGTGGCTCAGTGGGTTAGGCCGCTGCCTTCAGCTCGGGTCATGATCTCGGGGTCCTGGGATCGAGCCCCGCATCGGGCTCTCTGCTCTCTAGGGGAGCCTGCTTCCTCCTCTCTCTCTGCCTGCCTCTCTGCCTGCTTGTGGTCTCTCTGTCAAATAAATAAATAAAATCTTTAAAAAAAAAATTGTTAAAAGTGATAGATTTCAAATTGAAAATACCCATACAATGCTAAATTCTGCTACACTATCAGACACAAGAGATGAAACAATTAGGTTACTAGAGAGGGAAACCAACTGCAGCCATGAAATTGGTTTGTACTTCCAGCTTTGTCACTTGTTAGCTATGTAACTACAAAATGAAATTCCTGAACCTCCACAGCAGCTCCCTCATAGATAAAAATAAAAACAGTTTACTTGTATTCCTAAGGAAACAAAGAAACTTTATTTATTTGTACATACACACATGTGTTAGTTAAGGTCTGTTTTGATTATTAGAGCAAACAACAAAAAACATCCTATAACCAGCCCCACCTTCATTTTCGGATTTTCAAACTCATCTCCTGTTACGTCTCTTTTGTTGCTCCAAGCATCTTACATGTCATTCATTCCCAAGAGTGTATTCACCATTCCCCAAATTCTCCCTGTACTTTCTTACCTCCAAGCTTTCAATTAAGCAGGTGCTAGGGGAAAACTATTCAGATTTTTAGAAGCGAGAGCAAATGTGCATGGGGGTCTGGTTCTAGCACTTAGTAGCTGAGGGACCTTGGACAGGTTATTCAACTTCTCCAAGGTTCCGTTTTTCATTTTCTTTTTAATTAAGCTCTACGCCCAATCTGGGGCTCGAACTCATAACCCAGAGATAAAGAGTTGCACACTCCATTGACTGAGCCAGCCAGGCACCCTAGTTTTCACATTTGTTAATGGAGGATAATAATGCCTATCTCACAGCTTTGTTATTAAATGAGAATGTGGGTACAAAGCATTTTGTAAATTTAAAAGTTTTTAAGTTCATAATATTAGTTATTTAGGCATGAAATAATCTCCTTCCCTAGACTAGAAGACATCTTTTCCAACTAACAGCCTCCTCTTCTCCCCCCGTACTTAATTTATTGATTGGCAAAGCCTACCATACACCATGCGTGACACCCACTATTATAAAGATGATGATGAGTAATTTAGGGCCAAAGTCACAATCTCCGAAAGCCACAGATGACTATAATTGGGAGGAAATATCAGAACCATGAGAATGACTCAGATTAAGACGCTAAAGGGCTAAGTTTCCAAAAACACATATATTTACAAGGTCAAACTATGAAACCATGCATATGTGAAAATTCAGAATGTCAATCCACAACTGTATAGGTTTTGCATTTTAAGTACTTAACTCGGTTTTCACAAATGTCACTTTACCCCTTGAAAAAAGAAGCAAAATGGGGCGCCTGGGTGGCTCAGTGGGTTAAAGCCTCTGCCTTCAGCTCGGGTCATGATCTCAGGGTCCTGGGATCGAGCCCCGCATCGGGCTCTCTGCTCAGCAGGGAGCCTGCTTCCCCCTCTCTCTCTGCCTGCCTCTCTGCCTACTTGTGATCTCTCTCCGTCAGATAAATAAATAAAATCTTTAAAAAAAAAAAAAAGAAAAAAGAAAAAAGAAGCAAAAGAGCTGTGTTTTCTTAGAACATCTAGCAATGATAAAAAAGGCTGAAAATAACCTGTCCACACACAAAGCAAGTGCTCAGAATACACTCTAGTCACTTTTAATGACTCCCAGCAAGGCTTTTTAGGGTGATTTAGAATTTACAAAGAGCTTTCTTATTTAATCCTCAAAACCAGCCTTTTCAGAGAGGTTACTCAGCCCACTTACAGTCAAACAGACTCATCAAGTAAGCCAACTAATCAGCGGCAGAAATGGGACTAAACTCATGTCCTTCAAGTTTAAGTTGTCACTGTCCCATCTTCACTCTTGGGATTTTACAAAGATGAAGCTGACGTCAGCCTTGGTACAGGAATATTCTTCTTTAGATGATTTTTTACCTTTCAAATATAAAATGGAAAGCTAAGGGCCATCCATACTAATCCTCAGAGTAGGTATTGAGTGTATCATGGCTCCAATGTATCATTAATTTAGTATAATTGTTTCCCTATATGCAATACAATCGATGAGCTCTGTCCTCTATCTAGGTCTTAGAAGACAGGAGGGTTTCTGCTTCTAAGAGGCTAGATCTGAAGTAAGAAACCAGTAATAAACTCATTCTGTTCTGATGGACAGACACATAAGGTTGTCAAGCTGAGCCCTGGCCCAGACTAGAGCTGCTATATCTGGGGTTCCATCCATCTCATTAACACAGGGCCCCAAAACCTAGCCCTACCCTTCATGCTCCCTCCCAAATGGGATGGAACACCGACCAGGAGGCACCAATATCAAGCCACTGTAAGTCATATTAGTCTAAAGGGGAAGCAAGCCCAGATACAGCAATCTTCTACCCTGGAGAAGTGGAGGGTGGAGGAGTTCAGGGCCAGCAATTAGCTTTTTGTTAAAGTACCAAATTCACATGGCCCACATTAAGCTGTAAAGGATTGAGGTTAACCCATTACTGTTACTCTGTAACAGGCCTCAAATCCAGCACGGGTTCCACGACTCAGGGTACCTCAAGAGAAGTACCAAAGCACCAGAAGGAATATGTAAAACCAGCTTGAAGGAAAGAAACACAGAAACATCATTCACCATGAGACTTCCATGTACTTCCTTTTAATGTTTATTCATAATTATTCTATGTTTCTTAAATACCCATATGTCTAGAAATAGATCACCTACCTTATATTGCTGTAAAGAAACAGAAGGGGGCTGTGTGGTTAACTCATTCTCTGGCTCATGTCTGGATCTACTTTGCTCCAGTTTATAAAGCACCTGAGAACTTTCCTGTATCCTACAGAACAACTTTTAAGAAAAAGAAAAATGAAGCATATATAAGCCACATTAATCTTAAATATCAGTTAAAAAAAAGGCAAAGGACAAATTTTCTAAATTCTTTAGGCTAAAACTTCAAGAGAGGAGAGTACTGGTTTCTAACTCTTAATTAAATTCATAGAGTTTCCCTCTGACAGAAAATTAACATATATTTTTAAAACCAAAAACAAAATACTACTGCAAACCAGAATACACAGTCATTAAATCCCCCATAGTTTTATTTCCTTTAGGTTGGCATGAAACTAAAGATATACTCACTTCTGTACTCTCCCAATTGTTCATCCCATAAATGAGGCATGTGATTAAGTTGAGTTGAATTAGTCAACAATGACCATTTCATGAGGCCCTTAATATGATAAAATTACAAGGGCATCTTTCCTCCTTTCACCAAGGTTTTCCTAAAATACCTTTCATCCTGAAACATCCATCACATTTTTTTTCTTTCCAAAAAAAAGAGCTCAAGTTGACTTATTCTGCACCAAAATTAAAGACTTTCCACCCTGGATTTGAATCTCAAACGTAAACTCTGTGGAAGCACAGAATGGTCCACAGATGGGCCATGAAGGGATGTTCACAGGCAGTCCGATCACATGACCATTATTCCTGCACTCTCCCAAAATCTGAGCTCTTTTCAAACATGATTTGCAGAGCAGGGTTCACCATTTTCCTGTACTCTCTCATGAGAAACTCTACCTTTTTAAGAAGAGAACAAATCTGCTGCCGCACTCCTGGAGACTGATTGTTAAGATTGTATGTGATAAAGAATTCAATCCACTGCATTTCTTCCGTGGACACCATTTCCGTGCTTCGATTACTTTCACAAAGCAAGCCTAATGTATCTATCCGTACCTAAAACACATGAGAAGCAATAAAATGTTAATTTTTCAGTGAAATAAGCAAATTGTAGACTACCTGACGTTTATTTACATAAACTACCAAAGTGGGGGGGACCAATAAACCTCAGTTTACCCATGTATACTCCAGAAAGGTTCCCTCATCCCAAAGATCCTGGGGCTGTAACTCATATAAAATTATTTTATTAAATGTGTCAATTGGTATTTGTAAGTCAACAATCTTAAAGATTCTTATTCCATGGTAATGTTCAACTTCATTTTTTTTTTCTCTGCTTTACCCCAGGACCTTATCACCTCACTCTTGGGTTACCGTCAGGCACATCTAACAAGGCTTCTGGTTTCTTTTTGCTCTCTCACTGGAAATTCATCTCTGTTGCCATTAATTCTACTTCCTTGCTAAAGGCAGAATGGCTCTGGTTCCCAGTTACCAACTGAATGAAATCTGAAGTCTTCAACCTCGCATTGGAGGCCTCCAAAAAATGGACCAAACCCTCTATTCCTGCCAAACATCCTGAATCATCCTCCAGAACTTGTTTTGGGTTCTTCCATTTCAGTACTTATTATGTGGGGGTTTTTTAAATCATTTTATTTACTTTTTCTTTATCATAGTAAGTGTACTCTTTAATTCCCACCCCCTATTTCCTCCATCCCCCCAACCACCTCCCCTCTGGTAACTGTTTGTTCTCTATAGTTAAGGGTCTGTTTATGTCTTTCTTTTTTCCTTTGTTCCTTTGTTTTGTTTCCTAAATTCCACAGGAGTGAGATCACATGGTATTTGTCCTTCTCTGACTTATTTCACTTATTTCTATCCATGTTGTTGCAAATGGCCAAGATTTCATTCTTTTTTGTAGCTGAGTAATATTCCATTGTATGTGTGTGCCTGTATACATATTTAATCACCTCTTCTTTATCCATTCATGTATCCATGGACACTACAGCTGTTTCCATAGTTTAGCTATTATAAATAATATTGTATGTATCCCTTTGAATTAGTGTTTTCAGATTTTGGGGGGTAAAAACACAGTAGTGTGATTACTGGACCACCAGGGTAGTTCTATTTCTAATTTTTTGAGGAATCTCCATACTGTTTTCCACAGTGGCTATAGTAGTTTGCATTCCCACCAATAGTTCACAAGGGTTCCTTTTTCTCCACATCATTGACAACACTTGTTTCTTATGGTATTGACTTTAGCCATTCTGATAGGCATGAGGTGTTACCCCACTGTAGTTCTGATTTACAGTTCCCTGATGATGAGTGATGTTGAGCATCTTTTCATGCATCTGTTGCCATCTAACTGTGTTCCTTAGAGAAATGTCTGTTCATATTCTCTGCCTATTTTTAAATTGGATTATTTATTCTTTGTGTATTAAGTTGTATCAGTTCTTTATATATTTTGGATACTAACCCTTTATTGGATATGTCATTTGCAAATATCTTCTCCCATTCAGTAGGCTGCCTTTTAGTTTTCTTGATTATTTCCTTTGCTATGCAGAAGCTTTTTATTTTGATATAGTCCCAATAGTTTATTTTTGCTTTTGTTTCCCTTGCCTCAGGAGACAGATCTAGAAAAATGCTGCTACAGCTAATGTCAGAGAGATTACTGCCAGTGCTCTCTTCAAGGATTTTTATGGTTTTAGGTCTCACATTTAGGTCCTTAATCCATTTTGGGTTTATTTTTGTGTACGGTGAAAGTGGTCCAGTGTCATTCTTTTGCATGTGGCTGTCCAGTTTTCCCAGCACCACTGTTTAAGATAATTCTTTTTCCTATTGTATATTCATCCCTCCTTTGTCAAAGATTAATTGACCATATAATTGTGGGTTTATTTCTGGGTTTTCTGTACTAGTCCATTGATCTCTGTGTCTGTTTTTATACCAGCACCATACTGTTTTAATTACTACCACTCTTTAATATAACTTGAAATGTAGAATTGTGATACCTCCTGTTTTATTTTTCTTTCTCCAGATTGCTTTGGCTAGGGGTGCCTGGGTGACTCAGTTGTTTAAGCATCTGCTTCAGCTCAGGTCACGATCCCAGAGTCCTGGGATCAAGCCCAGCATCAGGCTCCCTGCTCAGTAGGGAGTCCGCTTCTCCCTCTGCAACCCCCACACCCTCGCCCCTGTTCATGCCTGTGCGCTCTGTCTCTTGCTCTCCCTCTCCCTGAAATAAATAAAATCTTAAAAAAAAAAAAAGATTATTTTGGCTATTTGAGGTCTTTTGTAGGGTTCCATACAAATTTTAGGATTGTTTGTTCTAGTTCTATGGGAAAAGCCATTGGTATTTTGATAGGGACTGTGTTAAATGTGTAGATTGCTTTGGGTAGTATAGATATTGTAACAATATTTGTTCTTCCAACCCATGAGCAGAAATGTCTTTCTGTTTCTTTGCATTGTCTTGAATTCCTTTCATCAATGTTTTATAGCTTTTAGAACACAGGTCTTTCATCTCCTTGGTTATATTTATTCCTAGATATTTTATTGGTTTTGGTACAACTGTAAATAGGATTGCTTTCTTACTTTCACTTCCTGCTGCTTCATTATTAGTGTAGAGGAATGCAAAAAGTTTCTGTACATTGATCTTCTACCTTGTGACTTTATTGAATTCATTTATCAGTTCTGGTATTCTCCCATTTTGTGTGCTGGTTCAATGCTTCTTCTCCTTTAATCACATTTAACACGTTCCTAATCAACCACTACCTACCCTGTTCTGAGCCCCTCAAGTCCTTATGCATAAAGGAGCACTTATATCTGTGTTATTTTCTAAGAGTTTCCAGTTGTTTTATGCAGGTCTTCTTGTTCCTTCAACTAAAATTTAAATAGCCTGAAAAGTCAACACTTTTCACTTTTCTTTTTAAGACTTTTTTTATTTTAGAGGGAGATAGAGTGAGAGAGAAAGCACAAGCAGGGGGAGCGGCTGGCAGAGGGAGAAGCAGGCTCCCCGCTGAGTAGCACCCTCCCCCCAACCCTGCTGCCGCCAACTAAGGGCTCAATCCCAGGACCCTGGGATCATGACCTGAGCCAAAGGCAGACTGAGCTACCCAGGTGCCCCTACGCTTTTCACTTTCAATTCATCCTCCTTACAGATCCCTTAAATCAGTGCTGGGCTCAACATGGGGGCCTCTATATTGGACTGCTAACTGAATAAATAAATCAGGGATCTACTGCATGTATGAAATTCCCAGATATTTTGTTTACTTACTTGGCAGTGCTGATGAATTAAGCCTTGTTTTATTCTTGCACTGGACACAAGGTTCCTCCAGGCATCAGTTGCAGACTGAAGATGTCCATGAGCTCTAGCTGTTCGCAGACATGCCATCAAAGCTCCCAGAGCCCCTCTACTATTAAAAGACCCTAAGGATGGTAAAGATCGTTCTTGTCTCAAAAACACAACAACAATGACAAGTACTGTGCTATGCAACAACTGCCACAACTTTCATTTTGCGATTATAATTTCAAGAAATAAAAATAATACTTTAAATTCTAACATGAATTAAAGTTCCTATGATAAAATAATCATTATTGAAAATAACTTGATAGTTCTTGTGTCAATAATTTGAAGTAAGTATAATCTGCTTATGTAAACTTAAAGAAATCATTATTTTTTGCTATTTTTAGCTTTTCCTTTACACCTAGAAATGAACCAAAGTGATTCGGTGGGGGGGGATCAAGTAGACAATTATTTAAAACAATAAGAACAACTAAAATGACTTTCAGCCAAAATTGGGAAAAACACTTTAGTGGCTAAATATCATTATTTTTCTAAAAACAAACACTAAGCCTCTGTACATATTTTGGAGTTACTGTTTCTCCCTAGTAAAAAAGATAAAAGGAGGATTACAAGGAGCCTGATCCTTTTAGAGGCTAGGACATCAGTCATTACTAACAGAACAAGGAACCCTGGCTCAAAGGGAACACTGATTAAAAAAAAAGAGACTGCCTTACTTCAGAACAGATTCATGAATCTTGAATTTTAGATGGCTTCTCAAAAAGGCAAGAACAATTGTTGTTTAAAACTACAAATAATGAAAAATAAACCAACTACAAATAACGGCTTTTTTTGTGTATGGGAATCAGATTTTTCCAGCTATCTCATGGTCACTCTTTGAAGTATTGAAAGTTTTCTATTATTTTCAGTTGTAAATTTTTTTTTTTTTTTTTTTTTTTTGAGAGAGAGAGTGCCTGTGCACGTGGGGGTCAGGGGAGGAGGAGAGGGAGACAAAGAGAGGGAATCTTTTTCTTTTTTTTTAAAGAGAGGGAATCTTTTTTTTTTTTTTTAAGATTTTTTATTTATTTATTTGACAGACAGAGATCACAAGTAGGCAGAGAGGCAGGCAGAGAGAAAGGGGGAACCAGGCTCCCTGCCAAGCAAAGAGCCCAATGTGGGGCTCGATCCCAGGATCCTGGGATCATGACCTGAGCCAAAGGCAGAGGCTTCAACCCACTAAGCCACCCAGGAGCCCCTAAAGAGAGAGAATCTTAAGCAGACTCCACACTAAGCACAGAGCCCAATGTGAGACTCAATCTCATGACCCTGAGATCATGACCTGAGCTGAAATCAAGATTTGGATGCTAGGGTGCCTGGATGGCTTAGTCGGTTAAGCACCTGCATTCAGCTCAAGTCATAATCCCAGTGTCCTGGGATGGAGACCCATATCGGGCTCCCTGCTCAGCAGGGAGTCTACTTCTCCCTTTCCCTCTGCCTCTCCCCCTGCTTGTGCTCCCTCTCTCTTTCTCTCTAGCACTCTCTCTCAAATAAATAAAATCTTTAAAAAAAAAAAAAAAAAGAGTTGGATGCTTAGCCAACTGAGCCACCCAGGCATCCCTTGTAAATATTCTCAAATTATGATGTAGAGTATCATATTCCTGCTTTGTTAAACAGAATACAGTAATTTTAAGATTCAAACAATAAAGTCAGGATCATCATTTACATATTAATTACTTAACTATGCTTTAATGCAGTGATTCCTTCAGGGTTACCGAATTTCTGTGGAATGTTTACCCTCTATCCTAAATGACTAGAGAGAGTTGTTTCTTGAGGTCATCACATCTACATTTTTTGTCTCTTCCCCAGAGATTAAAAACTGCTACTGCCAGTTTGCCTATCTTGATCCTTGCCAGAAACAATTCTTAATTACTGTTTCAAGCACTAGCATAAGCAACTTATATAAAATACTCCAACTGTTATGAGTGTTACATAGGTCTGACAACCTAACAAATAAGTACTTGGTAAATGGATTAAAACTAGTAAAAAAGGGAAACTTATAATCATAACTGGAATCAATCCTTAGCTTGTAGAAATGACTTCAGCCAAAAAAAACTCTACTCCACTCTGGACAGGAACATTAGCCTCAATCTGAAATCTCTATCGTTAATACCCTCTTTTACTATTTATGTAAGTGGTAATATTTAAATTTGAATATGGTCCACATCTGCCCAGATACCTACTCTTAAACATCTTAACTAGAAATTACTAAAAGAATGATTCCTTTTCTTACCAGTGTTAGCATCAGCAGAAGTTTGAAGAATCTTTACCATGTAGCTTAAGCTTTCAGGGCTGCAATTCAATAATTTTGGCAAGTAATAATCAATCACATAAGATTTTTGATCCAGATTTCCTTCACACAGTATAAAAAGGAGAGGAGAAACCCAAGTCTCGTGCCACTCATCAATCCAAGTAGTGTCAACAGCCTGGGACTTCAAATGACTCTTATGATTTCTGAACATGGTTTCCAAGAGGTCACTTGCGTAAGGTACCAAAGACTGGTCTCCCATCACCTCTAAGATTTGTGATGGAATAGTTTTAGCTAGTGCCAAAATATGTCCAATTCCTACGTAATCTACTAAACAACCAAGGCATGCGTACTTCCCTTTCACATGCCATTCCAATTGCAGAAGATTCTCAGTCAGATCACAGATGAAACGATCGGCAGCCAAACCTGACGCTTTGGAGTCTGACTTTTCTTTAGTGAGCTGGTGCATGTGGAGAATGTTTCTGAATATAACTTTGGTTTGGTGTCTCAAAGCATCCAGTGGATGTTCCCAGTGGGTATAGACATATTCCAAAAGTCTCCCAACTACATTTGAATTCCCATTCAGACTGTCCTTTAGGCTTGGGGAACTTGATTCAAGGACATGGATGGCTGAATTGGCCCAGGATGCCAAAATTCTAGACTGAAACAATTCCAGAGTTGATTCCTTGATCCTGAAGAAAAATGAGCCATGTTATTATAAACTGACTAGTAATAAATTTCATTTTATAATCATCTAGATTTTAAAAATATAAAAGACAAAGATCAGATTTCTCATCAGAAAATGATCAGAAAATTCAATAATTATTAAATTTACAACGACAAAAATTACAAACAAGGCCAAAATAGATCTCAAATTATAAATGAATCTTTTCATCTTAGAGAAATAATCTAAAAAGGGACACAATAAAGCTTTTGGGAGTGGTGGAAATGTTCATTATTTTTATTTTTATAATGGTTTCACAGGTGTTTTAAAACATATTAAGAGGGGCGCCTAGGTGGCTCAGTTGGTTAAGTGACCAACTCTTGGTTTTGGCTCAGGTCATGATCTCAGGGTCACGAGATCACGCTCTGCATTGGGCTCTGCACTGGGCGTGGAGATTGCTTACGATTCTTTCTCCCTCTCCTTCTGCCCCTCCCCGCCACCCCTTCTCTAAAAAATAACTAACTAAATAATAAATAAATAATTTTTACATTCCTTTAAAATATGCACAATTTTTACTTATATATAAACTGAAAAACATGAAAAATTTATTTTAGAACAGAGTACTTTTCTTCCTTTACCTACATGTCCATTACTATCCAGGTGTATCTATGGTTTGACATTTTATTTTTTTTTAAAGATTTTATTTATTTATTTGATAGACAGAGATCACAAGTAGGCAGAAAGGCAGGCAGAGAGATGAGGGCAAGCAGGCTCCCCGCTAAGCAGAGAGCACGATGCGGGGCTCAATCCCAGGACCCTTGGGATCATGACCCGAGCCAAAGGCAGAGGCTTTAACCCAGTGAGCCACCCAGGCACCCCTGGTTTGACATTGTAAACACATGATCACTTTCAAGTGTTATGAAACCCCCCTCCCCAAAAAAAAGCCCCACAAACACAATCCAATGAAGTCAAAAGAGCTGGTTGCAGTTCTGGCTCAGTTGCTTATTAGCAATACACTCTTAAGTTTGAGCATTTACTTTTCTAACCTCACTTTACCTACTCAATATGTTAGATTTCCTATCTTATCTATTAGACATGTGAGGCTTATACTGAATTACCTATGTTGACGTTGTTCATAAACTAAAATGCAGCATTCGAAATGTTCAGTATAGGTTCACCTACACCAATATCTGTAACTACCCCCCCCTTCATCTTACCTTCTCTTATTCTATTTTCATACCCATTTCATTGCCTACATGTTATCTTCCCTTTTTTTTTTTAAGGTTTTATTTATTTATTTGACAGAGTGAGTGCATGCACAAGCAGGGGGAGCAGCAGGCAGAGGGAGAAGCAGGCTTCCCGCTGAGCAAGAAGCCCAATGTGGGACTCAATCCCAGGATCCTGGGATCATGACCTGAGCCGAAGGCAAACACTTTTCCAACTGAGCCACCCGGGCGTCCCTGTTATCTTCCTTCTAATTCAGGATTACCCTGTGTACTTTTCATGGAATTACTAAATATGCTAGTTCAGTTGCCATCTTTGAAATGTCTGACAAGCAAAACAGAGTAGGAGACAGTAGCCTGAAAACTCACTGTGAACTCAAGGTGAACAAGACATGCACGATATTCAAGAGGAGGGTCTCCCCACTCGTGCCCATATTCCCACTCTGCCAGTCCAACATGGTGAGTGTCCCCTGACACAGGAATAAGAGAGTTGACTGCGAGACATCAGTACAACAAAGGCTCCTGCAGCAGTTCAAAACCCAGTCGGGCATGCTGGCGCAGTCCACTGAACGGAGAAGCAAACTACTAATCTGGAAAAACACAACACAGCTAACATGTTATAAAGCCTCGAAAACTTTTCAGATATTTCAAAATGTAAATGCAAAATTCCCTTTCCCCCTGAAACATCCTAGGAAAAATAACTGAACCTAAAGACGAAAAGCCACAAGTGCTGAAATTATTATATCAAAAGGGGAAAAAAATTCAATCTAAATACATGAACCATTTTGCTGGTTTGAATGGACCAGCAGAGCAAAACATACCGCTACATGCAGGTGGATGAGCTTAATGCTTTTAAGTGGTGATTTTAGAAATCAAATTGTTAAATTTTATGCAGTGATATCTTGTGCGATCTCACAGAAGAGTACACATCTATTTTGCAAACAGTCAAGTAAATAGCTAAAAGAAATTTCTAGATTATATAGTAAGAAAGAAAAAAACCTGCTAGTACTGAATATAAGAATTATAGCCCAATTATCAACTATACTTTGCATCTGACCAAATACACTGAAAAATCGATCCTAACATGCTTCCCATCTAAAGTGTAATATTTGGAGGACGCCTGGATGGCATGGTCAGTTGGGAATCTGACTCCTAGTTTCAGATCAGGTCATGATCTCAAGGTCGTGGGATCCAGCCCTGCACTGGGTTCTGCACTCAGTGCTGAGCCCGCATGGGATTCTCTCCCTCTCCCTCTGCTCCTCGTGCTTGTGCTCACTCTCTTGCTCTCTCTCTCAAATAAGTAAGTCTTTTATAAATGAATAAATAAATAAAAACAAAGTACAACATTTCGGTTATTCTTTTTTTTTTTTAGTAGGCTCTACACTCGGAGCCCAACACAGGGCTTGAACTCACGACCCCAAGACCAAGACCTGAGCTGAAATCAAGAGTTTGACGCTTATCTGACTGAGCCACCCAAGCACCCCTGGGTTATTCTTTTTTTTTAAGACTTTTTTATTTGAGAGAGAGAGTGAGCGAGAGCATGAGAGGGGAGAAGGTCAGAGGGAGAAGCAGACTCCCATGGAGCTGGGAGCCCGATGCGGGACTTGATCCCAGGACTCCAGGATCATGACCTGAGCCAAAGGCAGTTGCTTAACCAACAGAGCCACCCAGGTGCCTGGCCCCCTGGGTTATTCTTAATAAAAAGGACATATTTATCAAAAAGTAATGACTCCATGTATCTATACATTAACTCCTGCATACTTTCAACATTATAAGTATCTCTCATAATACTGAGAGATGGAACTGAACAAACAGCACTAGAAACAAACTAGGATATACCGATAATAATGTTGATGGTGATTATCTTTGTGAGATGGATTAACAGGTGACTGCTATTGTCTTCTTTCTGCTTTTTCTGCATTTTTGGACTGTCTCTTACTATAAGAGAAAATGATCACCAGAAAAATTCTGATTATGCAGAAAGAAATTTTTAATTCACTTCTTTAAAAATATTTTTTAAACATGTGTCTAATTATCCATCAAGTACAATTCTATAAAGGAGATGCACTCACCAAATCAGGAATCTTTTCAGGTGGATGAAACATAGCCTTAATAAAAAGAATAACAGCTAATCCAGACGTACTCTGAATTGTCTGTAAGAGGTCATCTATTTGGCAAAAAAGTAAACAAAATGTATTAAATGACAATGGATGCTTTGGTCCAGTGGAAAAAGTACATGGTGCAGTGTCAGATAATCCTAGATGCAATTTCTAGCACAATTCCCAGGTCGAATAGACCTTGAGCAAGTTATTTAACCTCCTAGGGACCCAGCTTTCTCTTCTGTAAAATGAGAGACTATAACTCCTGACAATTATTATAAGGTTTAAATGCATAATTAACATAAGGTTTTTATGTCCAGCACATAAATGCTTAATCAATGTGATTCCTCCCTCTCTCCTCTAACTCCTACTCTCTCTTCCTCTCCCTGAAGCATATCTAGCAGCAATACCACTTGTCTCCCCTGCACTGACGCCTTGAATCCCAACCCCCACATATATTACTTTTTCTTAACGTGGTTTCAGGGCTGTGTAAAGTGCCTGCATCAGTGCTAACTGCAAACTCCGCCGTCACTGGCACTATACCCAATGCAACCAATTTTGGCTTGCTATCTTCTCTGTTTCCTATCAGCCTCTGGTTTGTGAGAAAGTTTACCAAATATGGTAAATTATTCAACCTGGGTTAAGAATCATAAATGCCTACCATGAACTACTTCATAAATACCCATTTTGCCCTTTACTCCTGCTAACAGAACTGTGACTTTGACTGGAGCATCCATGTCCGCAGCCAAAGGAAGGACACTTGCTTCTTCTATCTTCCTCACAACTCAAGGTAGACATGAGGGTTCAGGCCAGTGGGATGTAAGCAAGTACCTGGGCACTTTTGTTTTTCCTTTCCTAAAGGTAAAGATGCAACTGGCCTTCCTTCCTGCCTTATACACAGACATAATGTCTGGAGCTGCAGCAGTCAAATGGCAACCATGAGGCAACAAACGTGGCAGTGAAAGCCAACATGTTGAAGAGAGCAGAGCAGAAAGGCAGAAACGTTTGGGTCCTAGACTGCATACAGCGTTCGGGATCACCTGCCTCTGAACTGCCTATGAAGTGGAAGTGAGGGGAGGGACATCCTCTGAAGTCCTCGAAATTTAGTTTTCTGTTACCTGCAGCCAAACACTTGACTGATAGGTGAAGCTTTAAAACCCTGGGGAAGGGCGCCTGGCTGGCTCAGTGGGTTAAGCCTCTGCCTTCGGCCCAGGTCATGATCTCAGGGTCCTGGCACTGAGCCGCACGTCAGGCTCTCTGCTTAGCAAGGAGCCTGCTTCCCCATCTCTCTCTGCCTGCCTCTCTGCCTACTTGTGATATCTCTCTGTCAAATAAACAAATAAATAAATCTTTAAACAAAAAAAATTTAAAACCCTGGGGAAGAACAGCACTGGAGAGACCCTACCAACTGCTCAGAAAAGAGGCTGCCTTGTATTGAAATCAGGTCTTCCCTGCATTTCACCAGACTTTTTTTTTTTTTTTTTTAAGAATAACAAAGTCCTCTTCTAAAAAGCAAATGTTCTCTGAAAAGATGTCTGTAAATTGCATCTCTAAGTAACTTTCCTTTCAATAACTGAGATCCTAGCCTAAATAAATAAATAAAACCATCTGGACAAGACAGCTAGCACTTTCACTAGTTACCAGGATTCAAAACATACAAACAGTGAGATACTATGTTTTCTCCCATTAGCCTAGCAAAACCAGAGTCAGTTACTGCTCTTTACAAACAAAAACTCTAAACTGACCCCAATAATTTTTTAATAAGTTAATATGCATGCATGCATGACCATACAGAATGTGAGGTCAAGGGTAAAAAAAAAAAAAACTTTTTGTAAATACTTTATGTGTTACGTATCATTTTTTTGTTAATCTTTTTTTTTTTTTTTTAAAGATTGTATTTATTTGTCAGAGAGAGCACACAAGCAGGCAGAATGGCAGGCAGAGAGAGAAGCAGGCTCCCAGCTGAGCAAGGAGCCCAATGCGGGACTTGATCCCAGAATTCTGGGATCATGACCTGAGCCGAAGGCAGTGGCTTAACCAACTGAGCCACCCAGGTGTCCCTAATCTTATATTATCTTGTAACACACTGATATAGGAAAACACCCAAAACAAGTGTATAGCTTAATGAATTATTTGAAGGTAAACCCTCTTGTACCCAGTGTTCAAGGTGAGAAATCAAACTCAGGCACCCAGCGCAAAAGGCTCCTCCATGTGCCTCATCCCAGCCACACCCCCTTCTCTCACCCTGAGTAAGGATTATCATGACATCCAAAGCAATGGCTTCCTGATTTTCAAATGGTTTTATTCATCAAATGTGTATCCCTAGACACTGTAGTTTAGGCCTGTCCATTTTTTTAAAAATCTGCTATATCTTTTAAGTGCCTTTTAATCTCCAGGTGCCCTCTCTACCCTTCATTTCGTTACAATTTCTCCGTTCAAGAGCTCTGGCCTTTGATCTGCAGTTTCCCCACAATCTGGATGTGGGGTCGCCTCATCCTAATGCAGTTCAACACACTCTTCTGTCTTTTGTAATTCCTGTAAATGGGCAGGTGACCTAGAGATCAGTCTCAAGTTCAGTCACTCTGGGAAGAGTATGGGTGGTAAAAGCAAGCCTCTAAGGGAGACACGTTGTCTGGCTGTCTGTTCTGTAAAGTTAGCAAGTGCCGATGCTTACTGCCTGCATCCATTCCTCGAGTTACAAAATGGTGATATTCTACCATTTCATTTTATTTTGTTATTTGAAATACTTTCACAAGAGAGACTTCCTCTCATTAACTATTTGGCTTCCCAGTAACACAGTTTATATAGATAGAAGCAACATACAAGAGACATAAGGGGGCACGATGACCACCCCCAACAAGGACTACCATCATCACTTGAAGAGACATGTATGGGTTATGTTCTCCTTTCCAGATCGTCCACTCAAATTTGGAAATCTCTTCTTATCAAGAATTTCTTTTGTCATTTAAAGTCTGTGGCTTTTCAATACTAAGACTGTTAGGTTTTCTTCTTCGCAATACACACATACACATACATTTAGAAAAGTCCTTCAACATTATCCCTTGCAGAACTGGTACATTTGAAAGAAAAAGCATTAAAACCTCATAATCCAGGCTGTTTCCCCATTTTAAGGGGCTGGAAGAGAGGTTCTACAACTCGGCTAAGTATCAAACATTTCATATCATTATTAGCACAAGCTGAATGACACTCAATTATAATCATCATTTTTATGGTTTTACACTTACCATCACTTAAAAACTTGGTGAAAATACTCAGCAATCCACACATACTTTGCCATATGGGAGAAGTAGAAGCCTTCAAATGAATTCTCTGAAAGTCTTGTATTTTCTGCACTAACATCACTGAAACTCTAGTGCCTACTAACAAGTCATTCATCAGTTGCGTCTGAACTATATGATTTCCAGCAAATTTTCTATAATGAAGAAAAGACATTATTACAAAAGAAAAGTCACATAAAAATGCCCCCATTTTTATCCCTCTGCAAAAGAAACATTCCTCAATCAAAGGGCCAAAATTCGTTTTAGATTATACTAGACATTTATGACTCTCTCCTCCACTCCCATAAACATTCCAATTACGGGGACATATACTGTAAACTTTCAACACTCTTACCTCAACATTTTCCTCCTTCTCAGTTAATGACTAACCTTGCTTCTCTTTTTTAACAGTAAAAATAACAGATCAAGAATGAATGCCACAATCTTTTTTTTTTAAGATTTTATTTATTTATTTATTTATTTATTTGTCAGAGAGAGAGAGAGAGAGAGAGAGAGTGCGCATAAGCAAGGGAAATGGCAGAGGGAGAAGCAGGCTCCCCACTGAGCAGGGAGCCCGATGAGGGACTCAATCCCAGGGCCCTGGGATCATGACCTGACTTGAAGACAGACACTTAACCAACTGAGCCACCCAGGGGTCCCAAGAATGCCACAATTTCTAAACTTGAACACTCCCCCTCAACCTTGATACACTTCCTTCACTTGACTTCCAAGACACCAGGCTCTCCTCCATTTTCTCCTACTTCACCATTGCTCCTTCCTAGATACCTTGGCTAACTTATCCTCTTCTCCCTAACCTCTTTACAGTTCTCCACAACTCAGTCTTTACTCTCCCTCTTTGGTTCAGCTACTTTGTTCCCTTGATGTGATCTCTTCTAGCTCATAAACTTTAAATTATGATCTACATGCTGATGATTTCCAAATTTGTATCTCCAGCCTGAATCTCTCTTGCTAATCCCAGACTTGCATATGCAACTTCTTATCAATATCTGCACTTGGATGTCTAACAGACATATTAAACTACATGAACTCATCTTCAACTCCAAACCTGCTCTACCTGCTGTGATCTCTACCTTAAAAAAACTTGGTCATCATCCTTGACTTCTCTCTTTCCTACCCCATCTCTAAGAAAATCCTGTTGGTCCTACCTTCAAAATACACACAGAATTAGACCACCTCCACTGCCACTCCTGGCCTAAGTCACTCTCATCTCTCCCTGGGATTATTGCCATGGCCTCCTAACTGGTCTCCCAGCTTCTATATTTGCCACCCCTTTCAATCTATTCTCAACACAGCAGAAAATAGGAAAACTGGCTACTGGCTACAACTGGCTTACCTCTAGAGAAGGTAAAACAACATGCACAGATAAGCCAGGAACACCATATTGCAAACAAGAGAATTAGGTAACCATATGAACAATGAATGCCAAATGCCACAACCTAATCTTTCTTCACTCCCTCAGCAGCCAGAATATTAAGCCAATGGTTTGATTCCATGGAGAATCTGTTACCCATGCAAAAAAAACGTAGTGATATTGATATCAGAGGTTTCCCAAAGCAACAGCCTAGCTAAATTAGCCTACAGTAAAACCTGCAATCAACCCCACTCATATGCACAGATTCAAATCAACTCTCAGTACCCCATCCTTAAATATGGGCACTTGGCCAAAAATCACCAGATTTCTGATAAGAGCATCTAGCAAAGTGAAAGCATCAAACAGAAAAAAAGCAACTTCAAAGAAATAGGACTATATAAAGATAAACTATTAAAAAAAAACTATCATTAATATCCTCAGAAAGATAACAAGATATTTCACTCATAAAATAAGAACAGAATGCTATCAGAAAGGAACACTTGGGGAGGAAGAAGCTCATACTCATATTCTCCTAAGAATTTATTTGATTGGTTAAATTAAATATCAAACTTCTGAAAGATAAATTTCAATAATCAGGACTAATATTAACAGAGAGGGATGGAATGAAGCACATTCTGGAATTTTTTTTAAATTTCCCTTGTACAAAGACAATACACAACTACAAGTGTACATACACATAGACGCACAAGCATGTGAACACATAATACTCGCCTATTTTCTTCTGAGATTTCAATTAAACTCTTCTGCAGAAAATGGAGCACTGAAACAAAAAGAATACATAATGACAAAGCAGAACCTAAAACTGTAAAGTGTAATGTCAGTATAAGAAAATATTTTAAGTTAGTGTTACCTATAATGATATCATGTTATAGAGGTAGAAACTTAAAAGGAAGGGGCATGATGTACTCTAGTAATCTGCAAGACTCTGCCCATTGCCAAGAGAAAAGAACCAGTTCCAAAATGACTCATACAAGCAGTTACCCCCTCAAAATAAAATAAAATAACAGGACCTACCATTTTTGAGAAGATTATTAACTCCTGTTCTACCTGTGGGGATAAAAAAATTAACACTGGTAAGGAGCTCCAGGGCCAAAATCTAATGTCATTTAAAAACAATGATGTAATGATAGAAAAAATACTACACAAGAGCTGGCTTACCCAAGTCAAAGTTCTCCATACAGGAAGATATATTATCAATTACTTTCCTGTAAGAGTATAGATCAGTAGTATTCAATTCTTCCTGAAGACGAGAAGTAAAACCTTGTACAGCCTCAGTTAGCAAAAATTCAGGTAGGCCATTTAGTGAGCTAGAAAAAGAATCAAGTATTAAATATTTCATAACCATGTAGCAAGTGGGTATACGGAGTGGGGAGGGAATCATACAAATTAAGGAATACTGAACTACACCTTCAAAATACAGCCAGAAAATTTTAACTTCATGCCACAATCACTGGAACGCCTTGCTTCCATCTTGCTTCCCTCCTCAATAGAGTAGCCAGAGTGATAATATAAAAACACCGTGTTAGTCTTCTGCCTAAAATCATCCAACAATGTCCCGCTCAAATTAGTTGCCATAGTGCTGACAATAACTTACAAGACTCTACACACTCTTACGCCACCATTATCTCTCTAACCTCTTGTTAATCCATGTTCACTTAGCTCTAGCTACATAGCCTTCCTTGTTGCGACAATATACCAAAGCCTTTGCTCTCACTATTTCCTCCACCTGACATGCTTCCCTCAAATAGACCCAATAATCATTCCCTCACCCCTTTCAGGTCAATCTCAAATATCACCTTAACAATGACATTTGAGCAAAGACATCTGAAGTGACCTCCATAAACTGTAACCTTCACCCCAGCATTAGTACTCCCATTCCCCCTCGCTGCTTTATTTTTCTCCATAGCATTCATTTCATCTAATCCTATATATTTTGATTATTTATTTTCAATCTTGTTCTTAGAGCATAACTTCCAGGGGTGCCTGGGTAGCTCAGTTGGTCAAGCTTCCAACTCTTGATTTCGGCTCAGGTCATGATCTCAGGGTCAAGGGATCAAGCCCAGCACCGGGCTCCTGGCTCAGCAGGAAGTCTGCTTGAGATTCTCTCTCCCTCTCCCTCTGCCCCTTCTTCCCCATATTTTCACTCTCTCTCTCTAAAATAAATAAATTTTGGGGTGCCTGGGTGGCTCAGTGGGTTAAGCCTCTGCCTTCAGCTCAGGTCATGATCTCAGGGTCCTGGGCTCGAGCCCCGCATTGGGCTTTCTGCTCAGCAGGGAGCCTGCTTCCCCCTCACTCTCTGCCTGCCCCTCTGCCTACTTGTGATCTCTCTCTCTTCTCTGTCAAATAAATAAAATCTTTTTTAAAAAATCTTTAAAATAAATAAATCTTTAAAAAAAAGTATCTAACCTCTATTCTAAAATGTTTTATTCATTATAACCTCAATGCCTGGAATACTTACTTGACATATAGTAGACAGGCAAAAAAATTTACTTAATAGATAAATTCAATTTAGTGTCAAATTTACTTCAATTAATCTATATCAAAACCAGTAAGCACTTTTTTTAAAATATGACTGAACAGTTCTAAAGCTCTTCTGGAAGAGAAAGAATTTAGAAATAGGAATAGTCTGAAGAAGTCGTCCCTGGAGGGTGACTTGTTCCAGCATATAATCAAACTACATTATCAAACTATAGTAAATAAAAGCGTGATGTTGGTGAATAAACAAACAGACCCAAGTCTAAAATCAAATCTGTGTTTATACAGGAACACAGAACATAATAAAGTGGCATTCCAGATACATGGGAAAGATGAACTATTCAAAAGTTTGCGAATAAGTGGGTCCCCATTATCGAAAACTAAATTGGATCTCTAACTTACACTCCACTCAAAGTTTAATTCCAGATGAAGTATTTTAATAAAGACAAGCAAGTAATTTTGTATGATCTTATAGTAGAGAAAGCATACATTAAGGAAGGCATGAAACTCAGAAATCTATTCAAAGAAAAATATTGGTGGGTTTGATCACCAAGAAAAATATTCTAATTTTTGTAAGGCAAATAGACCATAAAGAAAGTTTAAAGATAAGTAATAAAACAAAGGGATATCTAGTACATAATCTAGATAGAGATCTCATACCCAAGCCCTTCTTTAGTGGCAAAACCCACCTCCCACTACAGAAGCCAAAGATGTGAGAGTCTTGTTTCCCAGCCATTCTTACAACCAGAAGGGGGTATATGACCCAATCTTGACAACAGAAAGTGATAGGAAGTCTCCTGGGACCATCTGCAAAATGTTTTTCTCTCCAATAAAAAGAGATGGAAAAAAGGAAGTTTCCTTTCTTTATTTCTGAAGCTGTCATGTCTATATAAAGTGGCTGCAACTGCTACAGCTCCTTGTAATTCTGAGGGAAGATATGGCCAACAAATGGGAGAAAAAGGGAAAACATCAAGATCTTTGATGACACTGTTGACTACTTCCCCAAAACCCTAGAACTGGCCAGTATCTAATCATTTGCTTTTTTTTTTTCCTTTAAAGATTTTTTTTTTTTTTTTTTTAATTTAAGACAGAGAGAGAGTGAGAGAGACTGCATGAGCCAGGGGGCAGAAGGAGAGGGAGAAGCAGGCTCCCCACTGAGAAGGGAGCCTGATTGAGGATTCGATCCCAGGACTCTGGGATCATGACCTGAACCAAAGGCAGATGCTTAATCAACTGAGCCACCCAGGCACCCCTGATCATTTGCTTTTTGACATGTTAAATAAATTTACTTACATAAAAAGAAAAGACATTCTAACAAGGAAACAGACAAAAGACATATAATCACAAATAGTCAAACTCTACATATTAAAAAATGTTCAATCTCACTAGTAATTTGGGAAATGAAAAGTAAAAAAAGTATTATTTTTTTATCTGTTAGATTTTAAATGGTTTAAAGATTGGTATTACCCAGTGTTAGAAAGATATGAAGATACTGGCACTCTCGTTCACTGTTAGTAGGAGTATAAACTGGAATACCTTTGGGGGAGTACAGGTTAGCAATGTTTTTGGTAAAGAAATTCCATTTACAGGAATTTATCTTAACACTTATAACATAATTAAGAATATCACTGTATCATTGTTGGAATAATGAAAACAAAACAAACTAAATATCAATGGAAAGTGATTAAATAATATGTAACTCAGTACATAAAAATTTTGGTATATCCATATTATAGAAATTATAGCTGTAAGAAAATATAAGGAATTGGGGTGCCTGGGTGGCTCGGTCATTAAGCGTCTGCTTTTGGCTCAGGTCATGATCCCAGGGTCCTAATATCAAGCCCTGCATTGGGCTCCCTGCTCTGCGGGAAGCCTGCTTCTCCCTCTCCCATACTCCCTGCTTGTGTTCCCTCTTTCACTGTGTCTCTCTGTCAAATAAATAAAATCTTGAAAGAAAGAAAGAAAGAGAGAGAAAAAGAATAAGGACTTTTGGTGGGAGCATAAAATAGTGCAGACACTATGAGAAACAATATGGAGGTTCCTCAGAAAATTAAAAATAGAATCACCATATGATCCGGTAATCCCACTTTTGGGTAAATATCCAAAAGAACTGAAAGCAGGATCTCAAAGAGATATTTAAATACCCATGTTCATAGCAGCATTGTTCATAATACCCAAGAGGAGGAAGCAACCCAGATGTCTATCAGCAGATGAATGAATGAATACCATGTGGTACATATGGATGATGGAATATAATTCAGCTTTAGGAAGAACAAAAATCCTGCCACATGCTACCACAAGGATGAACCATGAGAACATTATGCTAAGTAAAATAAGCCAATCAAAAAAAAAAAAAAAAAGACAAATACAAATATTCCACTCATATGAGGTAACTAAGGTAATCAAATTCATAAAAACAGGATGTAGAATTGTGGTAGGGGCTGGGGAAGGAAGAAATGGGGATTTACTGTTCAATGTATATAGTTTCAGTTTCGCAAAATGAAAAACTCTGTGAAGATCCACTGCACAACAATGTAAATATACTTACCACTCAAAAATGGTTAAGATGGCTAATTTTATGTTGTGTGTTTTTTCACACAATTAAAAAAAGAATACGGACTATGCTGACTTGAAACTATCTCTAAAACATTCTTTAGTGAAAAAACAAGCTACAGAACACACACAAGAAAAGGTCTAAAGAGATAGATACCAAAATGTTAACTGATGACCTTTACTAAAAAAGGTAAGATAAGCCAGAAAGAGTGAAACAGAAGGATCATTTCTTATTTCTTTCACTCCTACATTGCTTGATGTCTTTACATCAAGCATACATTCTTGTATTACCTGTGTAATTACAAATATGTTTAAACTAAGAACAAATGGGAAAAAAAGAGGAAAAAGAAATAGCAAGATGACAGATTAAACTTAACCAATAATTGCATTAACATAAATGGACTAAATTAGGAGTCAGCAAACTATATCCCATAGCCTGTTTTATTAAGGCCTGTGACCTAAAAGCCAGTCTACATGTTTTAAAAGTTGTCATAAGTAAACAAAGCAGAGACCATATAAAAGAAGTTGTTAGTGATGTACCTCAGTTCAGTTTTACCAAACCAGGAGAATTTTCAATACTGTTTACTTTTGGTCAAACTGAACATTTATAATGCTTAACTTCCTTTCCTTTTTCTCCTTACCTTGCCAAGACTTTCTTCAAGGGATTCTTTACGCTCAAAGAAAGATAAATGCCGGCTAAAATATCCAAACAACTTCGAATAGTGGGATCACGTGTGCCATTTTTATCTGCCTTCTCCAGTAAAGGCACAATCTACAATCCAAAAAATTCAAAGGCATAGTAATTTTTTCTATTATCAAGTATACATAGCAAAGTAATAGAGTTTCAAATACTCTTTGAAGTCTCAATTATGGCATATAATGTTTTCTACAATGCACTGTTAAAGGATACCGATTTAAATACCTAGTTAAGTATTTTTTAACCTTTTTAACCCATATCCCCAACTCCCAGTTTACCCTCCAGACCCACCTCTATTAAGAATTAGACTTGTTAATGGCTTATGGTATAGGAATTCTATAGCACTATTGAAAAACCAGTAATATATTTAATTGCTTTCCAAAAAAATTATGCAAGTTCAAATGGTAAATCCTAACACAGAAATACTGGTAAGGACAGTCTGTACATTTTAAATTAACTTTTTAATGTGTCTGCTAAAAAGTTTTAAGGTTTCAAATTAATAGAAATAATTTTTTAAAATTTCTCTTCACAAGAAAGGTATGCACAAAAAAAAAAGAAAAAAGAAAAAAAGAAAGGTATGCACAGTTGTCTCACTGTCCTATCCTTTTACAGCTCCAATAGTGGTAGAGGCCTGAGTATGGCTCCTACCAACACTCTGAATAAAATGAGATGATACAACAAACAGAAAAGGAAAAAAAACCAACACTATTCTTTAATGATACATTGATATTAAATAATTGGAAGCCAAAAGCTGTCAGTTAATTTTAGAAGCCCATAATAGCATGATATTCTTCAAGATGTATCCATGAATATCAATGCAGTCTTACCTGTTTAACATAATGGATTTGTGACACTCCATCCGTGAGCTGTACACAATGTAACAGCAAAGAAGCTAGATTCTTTCCTTCCACATCAGCCAAAGCTAGAAAACACACACAAAAAAATTTCTTTAAGGATTTAACAGTGTATGCATATGAGTTTGCCTTTGTTATGCATTATCAAAAATCTAAGTACTTATAAACTAAAAAAAAAGCAGACAGAGCTTAGTCCGGAGACAAAATTTTTAGGAAACCATTTTACATGCAAAACTAAATGTAAAGAACATGGAAAAGTACATAGCAAGAGTTTGAATATAATGTGATAGTGAGTCTCAGAGACAGAAATACTCTATAACCCAGAAAAGAAGCAAACAAATTAGGGACACTCGGGTGGCTCAGTGGGTTAAAGCCTCTGCCTTCGGCTTGGGTCATGATCTCAGGGTCCTGGGATGGAGCCCCGCAGTGGGCTCTCCGCTCACCAGGGAGCCTGCTTCCTCCTCTCTTTCTGCCTGCCTCTCTGCCTACTTGTGATCTCTGTCCGTCAAATAAATAAATAAAATCTTAAAAAAAAAAAAAAAAAGAAGCAAACAAGTCAAAAATCACTTACATCTCAAAGTTTCAAGGTCTTGATGGCAAATGGTCAGTGCAGTTACTTGCATTTCTTTCTTCTTTTTTACACCCATTTTAAATAGAATTAATAGCAGTCGCTGCAAAAAAGAAGAGTTTAAAGCATTGTCTAATTCAGGATTTCTGAACCTCAGCACTAGTGGCATTTGGGGCCAGATAATTTTTTGCTATGCAGTGCTGTTCTGTGCATTGTAGGATGTTTAACAGATTCCTGGCCTCTACCCATTAGATGCCAGTAGCATCTCCTTCCCCGCAAGTTATGCCAACCAAAAAATACCTCCAGACATTGCCAAATGTCTCCTGGAGAGCAAAGTGGCCTCAGGTGGAGAACCACTGGTCAAAGAATTTCTGCTTCATAAAAGAAAAACATTTTTTAAGCTCAACAAGACTTTATTATTGTCTAAAGTTATTCTTACCTTTTATGGCCCAGTCTTTGTATTTTAAAATACAGCCAACCTTCTTTTTAGTAATAACAATAACAAACCAGCATGGTTTTTCCAAAAGTAAACTGGGCCCAACTAACCTCAGTGCCTTTCTACTTAACCAAAGGTCTTTGTCCTGGAGAAAAGAGGACAGGACAAGTGTTACAGAGCAGCTACAGTTGTTGGAGGACCGTCAGAAAAAGAAGAGATGTATTCTATCCTGCTACAGAATGAGGAAAAGTCAGTGCAAGTTTCAGGGAGGCAGATCCCAGCCCAATACAAAGGAAGAAATCTCTGGTCCAACTGTGGAATGGACTTCCTTGTAAACAGAGAATTGTCCCAACCCTGGAAATACCCCAGCAGAAGCTGAATGATCCCTCTGCATCTGGGCTCCTGCAAACAGACCCACAACTGGTCTCCTCTCATCTCCCTTGTTTCTGAGGAGTCCCCTCTTTTCACTATCATCAGAGCAATCTTTTTAAAACTTTAATAAAATCTAATTACTCTCCTGCTTAAAACTTTCCAAGGGCTTCTAGTTACACTTAGAATAAAATCCAACTTGAGACCCTGGCCCTCAAGGCCACAAGTAATCTGGTCCTGCCTTCCTCTGCATTTTCATCACAAATCAATCTTCTCTTCACCATCTAAGGCACTTTGCCCTTCTTCATACCTCTACCTGTTAATGCTTGTTCCACGAGATGTTTGCAAGATCTTTTCCCCATCTTTCAAGTTTCTTTTCAAACAACACCTCCTATGAGAAGCCTTCCATGACCACTCTACCCATCTAAAATGCCACAGATCATTTCCATTACTTTACTTCCTTCATAGTACTACTAGTACCTAAAATTTCAATAACTCGTTTATTTGTATATTGTCTGTCTCCCCTAGTAATAAACTCCACGAAGGAAGCAACTTCGATCTGTTTTATCCACTGTTTTAACTCTCAATTCTTAAAACAGTACCTGGCATATAATGAGTGCTTAATAAATATTTGGTGAATAAACAAATGAATAAGTTAACATTGTCAGAGATGTATGCTTTCAACAACAGAAAAGTGCACTACCTGGTATGTATATTCCGTATCTAAGTGACAAGCTAGTTAGTCCTGACACTGAAGAACCTACCGCCTATCTGAAAAGAAATCGATACAGTGATGGCATGTGAAAAAACACTTAACAGAAATTGGTAATAAAAATGGACACAGATAATGGCAAGACAAGGTAAGAATGTGAAAAGTGACAATGATTAGATCTAGGGTAATTACTGGGGATCATTTCCTAGGAAAGTAACCAATACACAAACTTAAGAAGGGATAGAGACATAACTAGGGAGACTATTCTCTGGTGAATGGTAAGTTTACAACAGGGTTTGATCGTGGAACCCTCAAGACTACATAAAAATTGGTTCGGTGCTTATGCGTGCTCAACGAATGCCTAAACGTTTGTCTTGATGAACTGGGTCTCCCCAGTTGGGTGAAACCCCGTGCCCACCCTACAACACTACTCCAGCGTCCAGAAGATAGGTCAGTAAGTTGTACTGCTAAGTCCCACCGGCTGCTTCCCTTTTGACCGCTGCTTCACTGCCATCCACACCTTTCTGGCTGACCCCATAAACAATCTCTAGGTACTTTCCGAACCACGTGGAGTTCGGAGAGCGACAGGTGACCCCCAAAACAAAAACGCACTGCTGAAAGTGCTGTCTCCATGGAGACCTAAGCGACCGGAAATCGGTAAAGCCACCGCCAAATTCTCGCGATAGCAAAGGACGAGAATTGGTGCGAATCACCCGGCTGCCCTAGCAAAATGACGGAGCCAAGCCGTGGAGAGTCGCGCGCTATCGCGCGTCTGGCAGACAGGACGCCTGGGAGCCAAACCTCGTGCCCGTGAGCGTCTAAGAAGAGTCGCAGCCGTCTAGACGAGTACAGGAGCTGGTCTAGTTCTGCGACGTCCCCGTGGCTCGCAACGTGGTCTGTTGACTACCGGGTCGGAGCGATGGGAGGGAAGCAAGGGGACCTGGTACAGGAGTCATCGCGAGAACTTAGTGACTGCGCTCTTCCAATAAGGAGTTCGAAGCGTTGGTGATGTCATCGGGAGCGGGTGTTAGTGAGTGGGTTTGGGTCGGTTCCGACTTTAAAGTGTGAGCAGCTTGGAAGTTTACCGGCTTCTTTCGCCTTAGGGCAATCTAGACCTGGAGTACCGGGGAGCACCTGTGCCTCAATCCAGACATTCCACCCTTCTCCCACGCATTTTACCCAGCGCGGAGAAGGAGAGAAAACTGCCCCCGGGCTGCGGGAACCAGCGACCGTAGAGCCTGCTAGGTGGGGTCGTTCGGGCCTTAAGCAGAAGCCACTCTTGAGAATTTAACTAAAATGAGAAGCGTCTAAATAAACTGACGTATCCCCGAGTGCGTTTGTTGTTTCAGCAAATAGTTCCTGAGCACTAACGGTCCGGGGATTGCCAGCCTGGAAAGTTAACACCCTATTTGGAATATGTATTTTACGCAGAAAATTAAAATCATCAGATGATTCGTTCACTTAGAAATAAATAACTAGGTCCCGAGCACTACGCTAGGAGCTGGGACAGAGGGTGGGGGTGGGGGGTAAGATCCGGACACAGAGGCCGATGCTATGCAAGTTGGCCGGTGTGGCTGGAGCCAAATGAGTTCAGAGGGTAGGTTGTAGGGAACGGGACAAGGGGAGGTAAATGATGTAAAGCCCGATTCCCCATTGTAAGGACTTTTACTTTCAGTGAAAGAGGAGTCTCTCAGTGAAATGGGAGTCGTTTTGAGCAGAAGGGTAATTGGGTAATCTACATAGAGTCATTGGAGGTACTACTTTGTAGTGGAAGATGGACGGCCAGTGAGTGAGGAAGCTACTCTTGTAAACTAGGCTAGCGAGATGCTAGTGGCTAAGACCAGGGTGGTAGCAATGCAAAGAAAGTGTGAGGCGTAGACAGATTCTGGATTGTGATCTGAAAGTAAGCTAACGGTTTTTTCTGAAGGATAAGATGGGGGGGTATGAAAAAAGAGGAGTCAAGATTGCCCCAAGATTTCTGGCTTGAGCAAGGGAGGAGGATGAAATTGCCCTTTATAGTGATGGGGCAAAAATTTGGAGTGGATTAGAATGGGTTTAAAACAGGCTGGGAGAGGAAATGGCAAGATCAAGTAGAAATAAATCTAGTACTTCCATTACACAGGGTGAAATAAATGGAGCGGTAACTATGGGAAGTAGAGGCAATGAAGGTTTAGGTTTTAAAGATTCTAATAGTAACATGTTTAGAGAAGATATCCCATTGTTTTTGTAGCCACCTGGCACTACCAGCTTGAAACCACCTTAAATTCTCTGTTTGAGGTTTTCTAGAATACACCATGAGAATTTGGGCCATGAACTTTTTTTTAAGTAGCTGTTTATTTTATTTGTAAAAGTGTATTCCAAAGGAATTTTTAAAGAATCTGTAATCCCTAGTATTATGGATTTTATGTGGAATACATAAAATCATGAAAAATAATATATCCATGTTTTGTTTTGTGTAGTTTAGCTTTGGAAATACCTGTTTGGAGCAGCATTTTCCCCTCAATTAGGGAATGGATTTTTTTAATGCTTATTTAATGACACATTTTCACACATAGTGATTTTTTAAAATCTTGGACATTTGAATAATTGAAATCTGATTTCTGAAAACCACAAACAAGGGCCTTAATTGCATACTTATTTAATACTTGTTCATAAACGTCTCTATACAAGCCATAATTCATACTGATACAAGCTAAGTTTCTCCTATAAGTATTGCTTTGCATAGATGAAAAGCATAATAGTCTGTCAGTTTTATAATCCCATTACCTCCTAAAAAAATACAGTTTGTGGTAATCTGCCAGCTGTACATGATGATTTACATAATTAAAGAATCCCTCGTAAAAAGCCTTTTTGCATAGTTTCGTGTCTAAAATGAAGGCCAAAAGCATATACTAGAGCTATGGACATGAACATTGTGTCATTTTTTAATATAAGATGAACTCTTGTTAATAAAATAAGTTTTTTTTTTTTTTTCCAAGATTTGTTTTACTTATTTGAGAGAGAAAGCATGAACTGCAATTAGAGGGAGAGGGCGAGCAAACTCCCCACTGAGTGGGAGCTCCATTTGGGGCTCAATCCCAGGACACCAAGATCACAACCTGAGCCGAAGGCAAATGCTTCAATGACTGAGCCACCCAGGTGCCCCTAAATTTGTTATTTGTTAGTATGTTTATCCCTCGGTCAATGAAAGAAAGCAAAGTTCTTCTGTTATTTGTCTTGGTGCATCATAAATTACCCCAAAAGCTAATGTCTTAAAACACTACATTTTCACTCTCACAGTTTCTATAGGTCAGAAATTTAGCCTTGTATGTGGCTCAGTACTTCTGGCTAGGAGTCTTTCATGAGACTGCAGTCATTGGAAAATCTGGCTGGGGCAGGAAGAACCACTGACTTAGTCCGGCGGCTCTGGTTGTTGAAAGGAGGCCTCAGTTCCTTCCATGTGGGCTTCTCCCCAGACTACTTAAACATTCTTACAGAATGGTGACAATAAGGTGACAATAAGGTAGAAGCTTCAATGGTTTTGATGGCCCAGCCACAGAAGTTACACACCATTTCAACAACA